AGAGGAGGAGTGGTGAAGGATTGGGGGCTGGGGTAGAGATGTAGCTCGTTTTTGCCTCGACTTCTGACATTTGAATTGGTAATTTTCGTTTCGCTGAATGCCAGCGCATAAAAACTACGCACACACACACACTCACACGCACACACACACACTCGCACACCTATATTATACACACACACACATACAAACAGTCTTTAGTCTTGTTTATGCCACAACGGAAATTGCCTTTTTTGCGCGCCTTCCGGCCGCCATTCCGTTGGCATTACGCCTGCCTCCATGGGCTGCCGTCATATTTGCCGCATCGTTTGGCAGCCTCTGCCCCTCTGCCCCTCTGCCTCGCGCATCGCCTTTAGCTCGACTGACTGTAGCTGACAGCTAGCGCTGCAAGGATGGCTGCTCCGCTTTGGCACTCTTCGACACTCGACACTCGGCATGGCACGCATAAAGCTGTCAATGTCAATGTAACGTGTTAATTTCAAAGTGGTTTAGTTTGTTGACGCAGCTTGTTAGAAAGACAGAAACCGTTGCCAAGCAGCAGACCCCTAAAAGCAGCCCCCTCCCCCCCCCACCCGCTCCTTAACAGCAGCCAGCCCCAGCAAGCATCCCACAAGGCAGCACCTCCAACCAACATCTGGGGCATAAAATGTTTTTGTGTTGGAGCACATGTGGTTTTAATGCCTCGCAGCAACAGGAGCAGCAGTCGGGTAACCCTTTTCTACATTTTGTTGTTGCCTCAACCCCAACTCCAACCGCAAAGATTGTCAGCTCCTCCAACTCCTTCTTCGATGGCTGCTGTGGCATTTGATTGATTGAAGTCTTTTATGCTGACTGCTTAGCAGTTGTTGGTCTGCTGACGTTGTTCACTTTTTGTTGGGCACATTAAGCTTATTGATTAGACAAGCACCCGAAGATGAGGAGAAGGACGCTTAACTGGTAGCTACAAACTGGTAGTAACTGGTAGTGGGTAGCAGATGATGGCTATGGGCATTTATTTGCATTTTATAATGATTAATTAGCCAAACACATCCATCTCAAATACACTGGTAACGAATCGATAAGCAAGTTTCAATACTTCAGTACAGCAAAGCATGAAAGATTAAAAATCTAAAAGATTAAAAAGCAGGGTTCACAGCTTTAAAAGCCCGAAACAACAGGAAATTGAAATTCTGTAAGGAAACTTACAAATTGCTGACACTCGAATTTTGTACATATAAATTTAAGTATTACAATTATTTATTAAATATGTGAGCCGAATTTAAGGCATTCTGTTACTAAAACTAATCGTTAAAAACAGGGCAGAATCTTCTATGTATTTAATGTTCTTTAATTAAGACTATAAGCCTATAACCGAATCTATCTGGATTTACTACGAAAGAGCTGCTAAAGATCAGGTCTTTTTTAAAAACAAAAATCGTATCTTTAGTGTCAACTTAATGGGTTTACCTCGTAATGCAGTTCATAATGTAATAAACACAAACAATGATTTTTTCGGATCTGACAATTCGATAAGCCTTGCTGTGACACAACTTGGCTTAAGCCAAGGCCTATAGACTGACAATCCGGGCTACACGCAAATTCGATACCCAGCAAAAAAAGTGAAAGTCCATATAAAGCCGACATTAGCAGCTTGTTAAAATGTATGGACTCATCTGGATGGTTTGGCTTAACGTGGCCATAAGACAGCCCTAAAGCCGGGGCGGGCCTTCCAGTTCAGTTTGATGCCAAACTCCAAGTCTCATTACATGCTGGGGTCGCGCCTCGCTTTTAGATTGTTTTTTTTTTGCGCCAAAATGCCAACTGCCAAGCCGTTGGAGGTGGAGGCGTTGAAGTTGTTTTGCTGCGCCTGATTCCTACTCTTAGTAATGGGCTGAAGTAGTCGCCATAAATTGGCATGGGGGAATTGAGAAGGAGGTACTTGGAAGCTGTGGCAGCTGTGGCGGCTGTGAACTGCTACCAAATGCGAGCATAATAAAATTTGAGAGATTTTACACGTTGACAATGACTGCGCTTTCAAGGCAATCCAATCCAAATGGGCGGCAGAATAACATGCCTGACAGACAAACAGCACATCCCGACACATAAATAGAAAGAAGATGGGTGGGGTTCAAGGGATCAGGGAGGAGAAGGTGGACAGAGAGTGGGGCAACTACAAACGCATGCCATTGACGACAATGGACACACAGCATGAATGCAAATGTGTTTTAGGTTTGGGGACAATTGAATGCATCAGCACTAAAAGGGTACACAAAGAGCATGCATCTGTATGTGTGTGTGTGTGTGATAATTTGCCTGTGTGTGTCTTGTAGTAGTTTGGGAAGTACTCCAAAAATCTACATGCTGCTTCCGCAGCCGGGGCCAGCATGGTCAAAACCTCATAAACTTGTTAAGCCAAATTTTCGCACAAGTTCTGGGAATGAAATATCCATGATGTTGTTCTTGTCGTTAAGGTGTTGTTATTGTGGTCTGTTCATCATTTTGGCAGCTGACAGTTTGGAACAAGACAATTACCACACAACGGCAGCATTGACATGCTTAAACGTGCTCGTTGTGTGTGTGGCAAGCGAGCAACTCGAAAAACCAGAGAACCTTAGCCAATTGTATGTATGGCTGGCGTAGACAAATAATAAAAAAAAAACACATTCTGGCCATTGTCAGTCACGGTCAAAAAGTCACATCCCGTTGCCAAAATAAACAGATTTTTTTGGCCCATTCGAATAACATAGTTTTTGGGGGCGCAAACATATACATTTGTAAATGGTTAGGAGCACAGCACATAAAGCATGGTTTGCTCTTACAATTGAACTCATACGAAATGCAAGATGAGGTTCGTTTTTATTAAAACAAATCCCCATAAGCAAAAATGTCATAAATCACATTTTAAGGGCAGTTTAAGTGCCACTATTTTCTGAAATTCCAGCCATAACTCTTACCGCAAAAACAAAAACAAAAACTTACAAAGAAATCAGAATGCACACTGAAATATACCTTGCTTTAGAGTATAATAAAAAAACTTGTATAAACAAATAATAAAAAAAATAAACAAAGAAATAATAACTGCACATGAAAGAGAATTACGAATATATTTGTAGAAGTTTAGAGAACAATCACAATCCTAGTCTGCAGTTATCAAGATCCTCTTCAAATAGTTCATTTGTGTGCAGGGTATACAAATTTGATTTGTCCGAAGAGTAGGAAACGCGACAAGCATTTGATGCACAACCCAAATTCATCGTTGACCGCAATAAAAATATGCTCGCCAACATGCCGTATGCGCAATATAAATAACTGAATGAAAAGTTGACTGAATAATTGAGCGAGTGAGTGAATGACTGCTGGTCTGAGTAAAAGTGCCATTCCATGCACTTGAAGCAATTTGTCTTTGCCCCATACGTGACTTTTGCTATTCTTTTACTTTCTATATATATATATATATATAGTTTACTATATTATATATCTTCCTTTATACTTTTTGACATGTCATCATGCTAAAAAATATTTTAGTTGTGGTTTCGGTTTGCCATTTTAGCATTTTACTTCTGCTAACGCTCATACGCTGCGTGTCAAGGTGCGACTGCGAGGTCAGCACTTTCAGTTTCGCATTGCCGAGAGAGTGAGACAGCGAAATCGGATAAGGTTGGTGAGGGATGGGCAGATGAGGTAAAAAGGATGGGGTGAATCCCAACGAGCGGAAGTCGCGCACTTGACTGGAATGCTGAACCGATTGCACAACATGACACGAGAACTGACAATGATACAGTTAACTGTTCGTGTTCTCATTGTTGTTGTTACGGCTGGTGGGTGCTGCACGAGCAGCCTCTGTTTCCGGTCTGAGTGTGTTAGTTAAATGTTGGCATTTGTCTCTCGCTGCGCTGCTCATTAGGTTATGCAACATATGCACATAACAAGCGGATTATTAACGAGAGCTCAATGTCAAGTGGTGGCACACTTAGAACGCTTAAAGCCAACACTTCTTGGCCCATGCAGAGAACTGAGAACTTGGCCAACAAACAAGACAACTACACAACTATCAAACGCAAGAAATATGCAAAGGCGAACTTAGCCAACTGAGATGATGCAGACTACCAACCAGCAAAGGCACAAAAGAAAATGAACAAGCCAGAAGATGTATCTTTCACACACCGAAGAGTATTTGTACTCCAAAGAATATTTTTATTTTTAGAGTATATTTTTCAGATAGAGTATAATATGTGATTTTTTAAATATTTGAATTGATTTATATGAAGTGTTTCTCAACCTAGAATATACTCACTTTAAGAGATCTGAGATGTCTTCTTCATAATACCCCCAATGTAAGAGTATTTAAAAGAGAGCACTACGCAAAAGCCCCAAGGTAAACAGTCAAGAGAAATGTAAGAACTACCCACAATATACACACACACACACACACACATGCATGCTGGGTATACAAATGGGGGTCGAAGGGTTTGGTGTGGCAGCTGCAAGAAACTGCGGTGCATTTGTCTTAATTCGTGACAGATGCAAGACAAGCCAAACACACAAACAGTCGGCTGAGTGCAACTAAAAGCGACAACAAGCTTCTTTAAGCATGCTAACTGCTGCAGATAGCAAATAATTCACACCAACAACCAAAACTAAGTCCCAAAAGCTTGACAAGCTTTGTATAGAATGTACAATGGGGCACCTGGGGCAACTGAAACAGAACTTTGACTTGACTCGTTTCAATTGTGCTGTCTTTTCAGTAAAACTTTATTACTTAAGGTGGTAGAAACTAAGTTAGTAACTGATTATTGATAAGATCGTAGTGTGTTGGCAGGACTTTAAAATCGTTTGAATCTTGTTTTTCCAATTTGTAACGCAGAATTCAAACATGTATCCTGATTATTATGGTAGGGAAGGGAATTAATTGAGAAAAAATAAATATATATGAAAATATGCGACAAAAATATCCAGGAAAAATATGTCCAACAAATTATCTCAGAGTTTCACAACAAAAATCAAATAAACAAAATACCTTTTAGATTTTTCCGATTTCGGCATACAACATTTTGGCATACAAACACTTAAAAAGATGGCAACTGCCAGCCCAAGTAAACTCAAGCCCAAAAAGGTCTTAACCATCCAATCGAAGGAGGATTTCGACAAGATCATTGCAGAGGCTGGCAATAAGCATGTCCTGGTGGAATTCTTTGCCACCTGGTGTGGCCCATGCGCACTCATCGGACCACGTCTTGAGGAGTTCGCCCATGAGTATGAAGATTGCTTGGTCATTGTCAAGGTTGATGTGGATGATAACGAGGAACTTGCCGAAGAGTATGACATTAACAGCATGCCCTCATTTCTCATTATTAAGAACAAGGTGAAATTGGAACAGTTTGCGGGCGGCAACGGGGATAAGGTGCAGAGCACTCTGCAAAAGTTCTGCGGTAAACCGACTGAGCGAAAAAGTGTCCCATCAACTTCGACTCCAAAACCAAATAAACTTATGGCCGTGATTAAAGCGGTAACACCGATCAAAACAAACAACCCGATTCAAGTAGAAAAAAAATAGCACACAAATCGTTGATTAAAATTCAATTGCAAGTTTTAAAGGCTAAGAGTGCACTATGTGTTTGTATATCGCAACTTGAAATCCAAAATAATAAATTTTAATGAGGACTCCTGATGAAAATCCTTTTTTTCTATTCCTTTATTATTTAATTAATATAATGATTACAAGAATCGAAATCATATTCAGATTTCTGATGTATATCTGACAGACTGTAAAGCCAAGCCAATGTATAATATAATTAATGACATATGGAAGCACTTGGAAATAAATATTGTCTCGTTAAAAGCTTTTCTCTTAAATTATGAACTTTGCTTTTACTGATTCTTGGCTTATTGAAAACATAGTTCCCCCATCGCCTCTGTGGCCTTTTCCTTTTCTTTGCTGTAGTCGTTTTCATTTATATATATATTTGTTTTTTTTTTTGTCTTAGCCGTCATGGTGAAAAATCGAAAAGTTTTACCAACGTTTTATATGAGAAAATGGGGAGGGATTTGGCAAGTAAAAAGGAAGCAGTGTGGGGTGAGGGTGGCTGCGCGGGAAAACAGTGTCATTCCTTCACTTTGAGAGACATTTGCATTTTTATTAAAATGAGAAATTGCAGCAGATGCAGTTCATTGAAATATTTCAACACGGTTTTAGCCATCTGACGGATATTAAATACCAAAATGTCTCAGTACTAATGGGTGGCAGAAAATTACTTGAAAGCTATCTGCTTTTAAGTATAGACACAAATTGCAAAACGGCTACAATTTTCTAGCAGCAAAATGAGTTGCGAGTTCAAGTTTGCATTAAATAAACTATAGACTTATTTATCGAATTAATACGAGCTTAATTAAGTGCAAAGTGCTATAAAATATTCAATTAAGCTTACAACTCTTAACTTTAACTGCACTTTCACAATCGTCATAAATATACAATTCAAGCTGAAAGTTATACGAGACTATTAGCTTTCTGACCAAAGCAAGACCAAAATGTCTTGGCACGTTCCACGCCCCCTATTTGAACTTTTTCGAGTGAAGAGTGTAAAACGTCTTTTACTTTTTGACGGCTTGTTGAGAACTCCATTTCGTTGGCTGCTTATCTACTTCATATGTTGAATGTTTACACTATGCAGCTAGTGCAGCTCGAGCAGCTGGCTCCAGCGCTTTGGACGATGGGTAAAATAATAATGAATTTGCGGCACGCCACACAAATACTTTCAACACCGACGCTCCGACGCCTTTGCACAACGTTCGCCAGATTTAGCCAAAGCCATCAAGGAAGATGCACATGTAACGGCCACAAGCTCGAGCCTTTTTGCCATGCCACACACTCTGGCCGCACCAAATATGTGTGTGGCAGCTAATATGTTGGTTGTGTCACCGCTTGAAGTCGCTGAAAAATGCAGTGACATGTGCTACAGCTACATCTGCTACCGATCCGCCCCCCAATCCCCTCCTGCTCGGCTAACCCTCCCCTGCTGTCCGCCCACCAACTGCTGCTGCATTGAAACAAATGCGCAGGGCGTGCGTGTATCCAAGCTGTGGGCGTTAGATGGGGGAAGGCAGCGATGTCAGAGCTTTGATGCGCCGAACAATAGCTATAAAAAGGATTAACTTGCATAACAAAGAAGTGCGGAGGCGTGTGTTGGTGTTTGTGGGTGTGTGGGTGTGTGGGTGTGCGGGTGTGTGTGTGTGTGTGTGTGTGTGTGTTTATGTAGGCAGACGACATTGCATACCAGGCAGCTGCCATATAAATTTCACAGAGCCAACCAACTGCCAAGCATTGGTCCATGTTCCAGCAGATTTATAGTTCCCACTCCCAGCCGCCGCCTCTGAAAGCACTAGTGCAGAGATTTCTGCTTGCTGCACATTGTTTGTCCTGTGTGGCATTTTTCGATTGCAATTATTTAAGCAAAATGATTTTAGTAGAAAGCAAATTGCTTAAAATGTGTATTAAATAATTCAAAGCAGGCTTAATTGCAATACATTGCAATACGGGTAAATGGCTACAATGGCTTACCCGACCATAATCTGCAATCAATGTCGCATCGTTACAGTAATTTAACTAACAACTGAAGATGCACTTACTTATCTAACTTTTTAGTGTGTTTTGAATATTGCATTTACACAGACTTAAGTTGAAATAATTTGAGCTTTCATTGTGTGCAGTGCTAAATTAGTAGCTCTTTTTGTGTGCAGAGCGAAATAACTTGAAGCTTTTCTTGAGTGTACTCAACATTTTTTAACAAAACTACATTTATGGTAGTAGATATAGAGACAGAGAGAATAATTAATTATGCCAATGTTTTTCTACGAAAATGATTGTATTTAAGTTTCAAATGTGCATGAATTAGTTGTTGCACTGTTAGGTCAACAAAGATAATCAAAATCAAGTGGGATTTTTACTCTTTATCTTCCTATGCTGGCTCATCATCGCTGCTGCATTCGCTAACATCGCTGATACTGTTGCCTCGTCGCCGTACAAAATACACGGGTTTCCAATCATCATCCGGTTCGTTATCCAAATCAGAATGCGATTGTCGATTTAATTCTTCTCTAATCACAGCTTGAACGTTACGCAACCAAGCCAGTACCTGATGTCGGTCAGTCTCCCCCCGTCGCAACTGTAGCAGTAGTTCTCTGAAGCGTCGATGGGTATATGCGCGGAAGCGTGTCAAACCCACATTTTCCATCATCATTTCTAATTCGGGGATGCTGATGACGATGACGCTGGTGCTGGTGCTGGTGCTGCTTATGACCGATTCCAGAGGCATATTATCAGGAAATAGAATGGTTGGCAATATTTCTTCGGTAGCATTTGCGATGTATCTGGAAATCTGTGAGATTTCCTCTGCTTTCAAGTGGACTCTCTGCTCAGACATTTTTTTATTGTCTATATAAGTTTATTCAATAATTGAGCAAAATTTAAAGAAAATTTTCCACGTGACAATCAGAGATATACTTGACACTGAACAGGGCTGCCCATAAATTTCAGCATGCTTTAGAAAGCCAGGGCTACACTGTTCAAAAATTGATTGGCAATCATTGAAGTAGTTGTGTTTACTTTAAAAAAAAAAAAAACAATTACAATTAAAAAATATGTAAAAATATATAAGTTCATAAATATTACAAGTTTTTAACTTGAATTAAAAGCATTGTGATTGAGAATTTATTCAAAATACTTTCAAATTATCATAATTTAGGATGCACGTATATCGATAAATCTAAAACAGAATTCTAGTTCAGTTCCTCTTCCTGTTCCCGTTCCCGTTCCTGTTCCTGGCTGATTTCATGTTGTAAATGCAAGCCAAAAGTTTCGCTTGCCATCTCAACACTTTCTCATTTGTTCTCGCTCCTGTTAAGTGAATTGTATAAAATTGATGAAAGTTCTACCAAAGTTGTTATTGTTTTTTGTTTTTTTTTTTTTTTTCGACACATTTCATGCTGTTTCCGTTGGTTTCTTTCATTCGCTGCTGTCAGTCGTCCATTTGGTCCCCCATTGACTCTTGAATGCCACTTGCAATTTCTGTTTGTCGCTTAAATGACAAATGCACAAATGAAAACTCAAATAGTCAGAGCGTTCAAATATAGGATTAGCTCTCTCTCCTTGCTCATATATGAACATATGTTTTTATCCTTCGGCCTGTCACTTTGCACAAAACAAAACGATTTATCAGAAAAGTCACTGGAAATATTTGAAATTTCCTCTTCGCTGCAACTTGAGGACAATTTACTTTCAGCTTTTAAACTCATTAATGTTTAATGAATTTTAGCTAAATAACAGCTGAGTCTGGTCGACAAGATAAAGTACCCAGCTAACAAGACCACAAGTAAAGTATCTTGTTTATTTCTAGACCCAAAAAGTAGAAGATATTTTGGGACAATGTGCTCGACCGTCGTCTGGTCAATTTAAGGACAGAGTTGATTGATAGTCGGCTCATTAGAACTGCAAAGCTGTAACCAAACAATGAAGGTATTTTGAAATTCCTTTGAAAGTATTTTCAAATATGCTGAAAAGCTGCAAAATAAGGCAGAAATTACGGTTGCTATTACGCAGTTCATAAACTAAAAAAACTGGTTAAGCTAGGCGCGTTGAAGATTCTACAACCTTGTTGACCGGACTTAATCTGCAAAAATCCAAATTTTAGTCCGTAGTACGAATCATTGTTTTGTATTTATTTCACAGTCAGTTTGGTACGAACTATTCCACTTTTTCCTATGTCTGTAAATATAATAGTAGTCGAAAAGAAAATTGCTAAAATTCTAAAATGTTTCTATTTTCTAAAATTTAATTAAATAGCAAATAATCAGTGGCAGCAAATAAACAATCATTAAATTGAATTTAAGAGAAACGCTTTTTGCACAATTATGCAAATAAGCAAATAATGTGATAATGAATTAATTTTACTACAAAATCCCTTAGTTAATCTAAAGTAAATTGTGTGGTTGTTTCCCTTTTTTGTCTCCGTATCTATCCCCTTCTGTATTCGTTACGCACACTTAGAAGCACATTAGCACAAAGGTCACAGAACATTTATCAAATTTTCGGGGCAACGATTTACTCTTTTTATCTTGTTCTGCAACGCAATTCTTACCTACTTTTTTTTGTCCGTCTGCCTGTTTATATAAGGCCCTCGTATTCTTTTCTTTTTTGTTGTTGTGGGTTTCTAGTGGCGTATTTCGCAATTTCAATTTCTCTTTGGTATTTCATATTATTTGTGTTATTTACTTTACTTTTGGGCCAGAGACTGGCACCGCCCAGTGGCTCAGTGGGCTTCTGGCATTGTCTGCCGCAGTAACCGCATGGCACTGACAATTGAAAACCGAATAGAAGGCAAGCAGACAGCACATTTGTAACCGTGACGCGATGGTAAAACACGGCGTATGAGTAACGAGATATGTGCAATGCGAGAAGCCAAACAATACAGAAAACCAAACACTACTGTGCGTGTGTGTATGTGTGTGTGTGATATGCTTGCAATGTGTGTGTTTATGTTATCCTGAGTTTCGTCTTCATCTTAGTTTTGGTCCCGCATTTAACCGCAAATTTGTATTCAACCATTTTGTTTATTTGTTTACTTATTTAAATTGCTTAATTTGCATTAAATGTCAAGCAGCAGCAGCTCTTTACATGGCTGCACCAATGAAATAGGAAAAGGTAGCTTTGCCCAGGATCAACCCAAATATACGACACACAACAAAGGACTAGCTACATACGTAACAGATAAAGACCAAGGCGAATAACAAGCATACAATAAATAAATTTTGTATATAACTAACATGCTATGCAAAGTAAAATCCTCAGATCAAAAAGAAAACTCCATTTAACAGAATAAAAACTGCTCAAAAATAACCGAAAACAAAGTTACCGGAAATTACATATATAAAATGCATTTCGACTTGCTCAAATAAACACACAGCTCTATAAATAACTCTCAGATGAAAATAAATGCAATTTGAGACATATATACAAATTTGTGCGCTTAAAAAACTGGCAGAAAAATGCGTGATAAATCAAAGTAAAATAAATAGATGAAAAATTGCATAAGAATGCGAACATTTAAATAAAATACATTTTGGAGTTCAAAGCAAATAAAATAAAATCAATTGGTTACGAATTGCAATTCTCGCTTTATACGAAATAAATGTTCAATGAAACTCGAATAAAAATGATTGAAATGTTTACTTTTTAATATAGTTGCTCCTCCTAACTTTATGCACTCGTAAATAAACAAAAATAATCCTAAAACGATAATAAAAATGTCTGGCAATGATGTTTCGGTGACTGAAACAGCACAAAGCGATCAGGTATGTATTGAATTGAATTGTGTTCTAGTTAAGTACACAACAACAACCACCCGACAAATAATCCTATTTTAGTTGATAAACATATTCCAATTTATGCTGATATCTGCCTGCTGATATCTGCCAACGTACAAGTTAAGCACATTCAAATTTCGATTTATTCAAATTTTGTGTTACCAGCATGTCAGTTACTATGTGTTTTCAATCAACCGAATTTATTGCTAGAATTTCCTCAAAGCCGTATTTCTTTTTCACAGTATTTCTAATTTAATAAGTACACATTATTTATGAAAACATATAATGCTGTTTTGAGTATTACGAGTCAACCAAAATTTGAATGTATTTATACATCATATTTTTGAGAGTAACTTTTGATTACCTTTTTTTAAACACACCTATAAAATTTGCACGTTAGAAACACGTGTGTGCTAGAATATAATTTATTATTTTTACACTGCGCTTGGATTCTTATTTTTTTTTTTTTTAGTTACGCATGAGCAGAAGGAAAAACAACACTTTTAGACACCAGCAGCATGTGCATATTTATTAGACCTATTTTTGTTGGCAAATTTAACTCAAATATATTTTGCAAGCTCTGTTTGCGCATCAAGAATTTTGCCTTTTGAATATTAGATTCAACTAATAAAAAATTGTGTTTTTAGTTAGATGAACTTACAACTTTTTCATGCATTCCATGCTTAATAAATACAACATATAAATAAATAACTAGACTGTAACACAAATATATGGGTTAAATTGAGGCTAAGTTCAGTGCGGCTTTTTTACGTTTGTAGACCAGCAAATTGAGTTTGCAACAACTTGCTAAAAGCTGCGCTTTTTTTTGGCGCATTGATCAAGCACTAATCAAATAAGGACTCGAAACTGAGTGCTTAGCTTAGCTATGGGCAAATTGTTATGGCAGTCGTATTTGTATTTACATATCATTTGTGCAGACAAGTGCCAAACGGGTTTGGGCAGAGGTGATTCTCAAGCTCTTTATACCAATTCGCCATGTGAAAAGTAAAAGCCTTGCTCATTACGACGAGACGACGCCGAGGACAAGCACGATTTGAGGGCATGGAATGACACAGTCAGCGGGGGGATAACAGAGAATTTCCTTGGTGTGCTGCCAACTGGGCTAACGATTTTTGTTTGGCCCTTTGTGTTACTTGGGTCCCCGCATTTGGCCCGTTATTTGATCATCATTAGCGATACGTATCGGTCCGAGGTCTCGAGCTCTCTCTAGCTATGTGGCTTTGAATGTTCACATATATATATATATATATCTATATGCAGATACACATATCATACATATCCATGTTTGTCTGTGTTTGTGGGTGTGGTTGTGAGTGGGTGAGTAGGGTGCACTGATGACGTTGCAACAGAAGTCCTCTGTAGTCGCTGGCGCTTTGCTTGGCTGCCTGCACCAAAAGTTGCAACAAAAGTTTTTGTCGCTCTTTTGTGTCGTGAGCTTGACTTGGTTGGCTCTTTGATTAAGCCAAAAGCAACCGCTGGTACTCTGATTCAACTGATTCAACCAAGCACCCAACCAGCCAACCAGCACAACCCATCTTTCCGTCCGTTCGGCAGCACCAGCAACCGCTGTGTAATTAAATAATTGCGGTGAGCTCGCCACCAAATCGAGCTAATGCAGTTGGCTGAAAATCTCACTTGGGTTTAGTTATGACTTGCTTTTGGCTTGGTTTGGCTTTACTTTACTCTGTCTCTCTCTCTCTGTTTGGCAATGTGGAAATTGAATTTCATAACTTGGCTTGTGTGCTTTTGCTGCAAGCCATTTGAGAATACATTCGTATATAGATACATCTAGGTTTAAATTTGGTAAAAGTGTTTATGCTGCCACACTTAAGTAAGACACTAAGTATTTCGAATGTGGCCATTCGCATTATGATTTTTGACAATGTGGGTCGAATGCTAATACAGTTATATAATAATTACAATTTGTCAAAATGTAAATAGCAAAAAACAAGCAATATTATTCTAGTTGACAGACTAGACTCGACTGGGAGATACCCTAAGCTCAGCTACAAATATCTTAATTCTCGCTCGACCACAAATTTGATGTATCTTGTTCTACAGTTGTGGGAGATATGTGTTTTTATGATAACTTTATTTAGCATTATACAAAGCAAATTGTGCCTTTGTATTAATATTCTAACATATAGAATAATCACATACTTTAACAAACAAAACTTTGACCTCTTTTAGTCATACTTTGACATCATAATTATTGCCACACAAAAAAACATCTCATGATAAGCGCAATGAAACTTAAATCATGCAAATAACATTACCTGAAAAGAAACCAAAATATTTTTAAAATCAGATACACACAAAATCAAGACCAAATTAATAATCAGTAATGTCTTTTTTTAATAACACTTATCTTTAGTCTATTTCAATTCAAAGGAAAGGAAAAGAGAGGTGAACTGTTCTCAGTTCTCAGCTCGCAAGTCTGATTAATAATTTTGTATGTATGTTTCTACCCAGAAACATTCAGATAGTATTTTAATTTTGTGGCAAAGATCATTTTTCAAATCTTTAAAAAGTTTCGTGTTTCTCTTGTCACTTCCACATATTCTTGGAATGAAATATTGTTTTTTTTTTTTATTTATTATGTTTTTATTGAGAACATTTACTGACATTTAAAGAAATAGTTTTAGTCTATCATATCGAAAATAGTAATTTTTAATTTTTTTATAGTCATTTTCTGATTTATAGAGTGACTCTAAATTTGCTCAAGCTATGACAAAGTGAACTTTACTTTACTTTAAGGACAATAAATTACTACTTAACCACGCAATAAATACACATTAATATATTACTGAAAAGCAGAACATAAATATGTCAAAATAAAATAGTTACACATTTTCATATCCTCTGGAATAAAAACAGTTGCAATTTAATTTATCATTTATGATTCGAGTTACCCTTTTTGCTGTTTAAAAAATAAGCTTAACTTAATTTTATTTACATAATTTGTAGTTTATGTAAAGCACATCGATCTGTTTATATATCCATCTATATATCTATCTATATTGTAGTTAAACTTGACGCTTGCCGCTTAAATTCTGTGTATCTCTCTTGTATCTTTTATCGCTATTTTTGTGATTTATGCCAGACACAATATGAATATGAACTTACGCTGCAAATCCAAAAATAAACCCGCTCAATCCGCAAACACACTCCATCCCCACCACACCCACACAGTGACAACAATCACTTAAACAAAGATTTAACAGGCGTATTTCTTGTTGCTTGTGTTAACAACCCACAATTTTTTATGGCAACTCTTCTTGCTTCGCCCGCTATGGAAAGTATTTGCCCGCAACGGCGGCTGGGGCGCATCATCAATATTATCGCTACCACGGCCACAAGCATCCACAACAGCAACAAAGCTGCATGAGGCACATACCACAACAAAAACAACAGCTGCAGCGTCAGCTGCAATGGGAGCAACAACAACAACTGGTCAACAACTCATCGAGCGAGTTCGATGAGTTCCACTGGCCGAGCAAGCAGCTGCAAGAGTCGATCGCTGGCGGTGCACTGGGTGGTGGAGCAGCGGGTGGTGGCAAAATCTATATAACACCCGCAGACATTCCGCCACCGCCCCATCCGCCACATCCGCACGGCAGCGGCGGCAACAGTAGCCACAGTCATAACAATGGCAACAAAAGCAGACAGCACCCGCAGCACCACCATCAGCATCCACAGACACCACATCGAACGCCGCCACATCGCTGCAAATGCGAACATCCAATTGAGCTGCTCGATTATGACTTTGAGGATGCAACGGCCGCAACATCCGCTGCCGCTGCCGCTGCCACAGCCGCAGCCTCCGCCCTTCATCACTCGCATCGTCACCAGCACCCGCCCTACTATTACAAGGCAAGTGGCGCCATCGCCAATTCAGCGACAGCAGGTAGCAGCTATCAGCTGAGGCGCCACAGCGCCAAGTTGCACGAATCCATGCTGGGCGGACTCGGTGGGAGCAGCATCGATGATGATGATTTGCACAGCGCAGGTGGTTTCGGCGACGGCATGACACGCTTTAAGGTAAGCCACACACAAACGCACACAAAACTTGTTGCACTTCAATTATAATTGATTTATGTTGCGGTGGGTGTGGTTGTGGCAATAATGAGCCCCCAATTGACGTTGCCCGTATATCTAAGGAGTTGACATCAAAGTAATGTTCGCGACACCGTTGCAAATTATATACTTGCGGCCCTTTTGATATGTGTTTTGTGTGTGTGGCATGCATCATCTGTAATCATATAATTGCGTTCAAGTTTGGCAAGCAATAAGATTGAAATGACTTTAGTGGATAAATCAAGAAAGTCGACAATAAACCAGCTTGAACATTTATCATTATTATAAATCTGAACAACAATTGAAATAAATTAAGAACCAAGCAAGGATGCTAAAATATATAAAAAAGTGAATTGTGTAGAAGTAAAAGAAGTCGTTAAACTGTGATTAATGCATCTTAAATGTATCCACCTAGAAATTTCCAGACTACATAATGTGAAAATTTATGGTACTCATTTGTCTAATGCGCTTAGCTCGAAATGTGTTCACAATTAGTAAAATTATATTAAAAATACCGAAAACAACAAAAATAACAATAATAACAATGGCAAGCGGAGCGACCAAGGACACTGTGGCACACCCACGACTACAACTAATTAGCTTTGTCAGTTTAATGAAAAACTAAACGACAAATGACAGGCCAAGAGAGCCCCAAGAAATAGCCACTCAACCCCAAAAAAACAAGCCAAATTTTGTGTGTTTGCCTGCGGTGTCTTGAAAATTAAATACCCTTCCGATATGGTTAAGTAAGAATAAAATGTGCTAATAAATATGGGAGGCATCTTAGTTGTAAGATAAGTTCTATGGTTTATATTGGCTTTTTATTTATTAATAAATAACAGAAAAATAATCAAAAATATGTACTTATAGATTTTTTAAATAACTTAAGTTTGATAATATAATTCAATTTGCAGCCATTATAGCAAAAGGAAGCTGCTCAGATCTGTGCAAAGTCGACACGATTTTACAACTGCAACAGACATTTTGCAACAAAACTGAATTGCCACATGCTTCAGTAGAGGCAGCTCATTCAATTTTTAGTGGCACATTTTTGGGGTAGAAACAAGGACCTTGTTGCTTGGACTGCCTGGCGAAAATGTGGCAAGCAAAAAGGCGACGCTGAGCAAGTATGCGACATGTGGTGCAACATGAATATAAATTTCATTCAACTTATTTGCCATCCCACCCTACCCAGTCCCACCATGGCCAACTAATTGCCGGAAGTTCAAGTGCAAACGGTCGACGCAACGAAGCTGCAGATTTCAGTAGCTCTTCACCATACTCCCCCCACCCTCTCCACCATCTATCCCTTCCAATCCCGGGGGTTTTGCAATGCTCCTAAAAGCATTCGGTTTCATATTTATTTAATGAATTCTTTTGGATTTGTCTGGCGCCACTAATTGCGCCATATTGTGGCACAAATTCTATTCACAAATCCCCAAACAATCCCCAACCAAACAAAAGTCAGGCATTGGATACAGCCACAAACAGTAGTTGGGCCAATTTTGCAATTTGCTCGCTATCAAAACAGCCAAAACGAGTTTATCTTCACGTAGACGCAATTGTGATACTCTATCCAAAAATAGAAATCAATCAGATTTTGATTTAATGTCGCAATTCCAATTAATTTCAATGTGAAAATCTTAACTATGTCGTTAAAAATATTTTTGATATATTTTATTTGTATTATTATTTTAATTAATACAGCTAATAAAAATTAAGTATATATATTGTTTTAATTCCTTTAATTATGTGGGGCTATAGAAAGTTTTTTCTAAAAGTAAAATCGTGTGATATATCAATACAGCTCAGCCAGTAGATAGCAAAATATGGAGTTGCCGCATCAATTTCCTATCAGTTTCTATATGCTTAAATGGAATTGATATCCCTCTTCATTTTTGATGTTGCATACCACATACAATATTGAAATGCTCTTTTATCAATATAAAAAATGCAGAAAACAATGAAAACTGTGCGAGAAAACAATATCAATTTTAGTTGCGCTTATGAAATGGGAAGATACGAAAAACACAGAAATCATTGCGCTGCCTACTGGGACCATATTTTATGGGCATTGTAGCCATAAAATCGTACAAGTTGTAAGCAGCATGTCTTCGATGTCAGTTGCAGTTGCCACCAAGGTGCCATATTTTAGTTCTGCCACCGCAAATCATTTGGGAATTTCGAACAAACGTGGCATCAACGTGGGTGTGTTGTCCTTGAAGTGGGCGTTGCGTCCAAGTGCGGGGTCGTGTCGAAGAGAAGTTTGCTTCGACTTCGTTTTGCATATTTTAATGGCATATGGTTTGTTGACTTTGTAAGTGAACATGTTGACTGGATAAACAGATATGTGCTCCAACGTAGTTGTGCAAAATCGAAAAGTAAAAACCGGAAAAGAAAGGTCAAAGTAATATCAAGCTAGAGCTTGAAAGATATTCTCAAGAGAAGCACATATAAACTTAAGTTGCAAATGCAGTCGAACTAGATTTGAATTGCTAAGCTCTAACCGGTTGAATTTGTTAACTATTTGTGTATCTGGTCTAACAAAGCAACCAACAACAAAAGCTGTTAAACTTTATATAATAAATTTGTTAAATCTGTTAGCACATTACCAAACCCAAACAATTCAATCAAATTGAACTGATATGATAATTGTCTCAAATTTGGATTGAACTTGACCAAGTAAATTACTTTTAATAAATTTATAAATTCTGTTCGATTGTTTCCATATCAGCTTTATGATATTGCTTGAACAACATTCAAACAACAGATTTAAAACCCGAGCAACTGCATGTTTTATCTGTAAACCATAGTCTTTGATTTTACTGATTGTGTATCACAATGGCAACACATTCAATAACTACAAATAAAATACAATAACTGTTGGCACTCGTCTGAAATCGTATTATAAAATTCATTTAACCTTGAGCTCCGTTAAACTCGACCACATAATTTTCAACAATTGTCACGCTGTCAAGTCTTTGGAATCATTTTTTAAATCCGCTGACACACAAAATAAAAAAAATACAATAAAAACAAAAACAAAAAAAAACCAAATGGAATTTATTTTCGTTGTGAGACATGTATCGACAGCTAAATGAATAAAATAAATGTGTATTTTTGGATTGTTTTTCTTCTCCTGCAATCCAATCAGGTGTAAAATAAGTGGCCAAATAAGTAAATAAAGCGAACTTATATAATACGCAATACCTGGTAAATGTTTTGAGCATTACGTCATGGGGCAATTGTCGGGTCCCCGTTCCCCTTTGACAACTCCAGGCTCAGATAACTACATAAACCAGTTTCGAGACGGTTTTACAAAAAACCACTTTCATTTTCAGTTTACGTCTCGTGATTTTGGATCGTTAACGATAGGTGAAAAAGAAAAGAAAAGAAAAGAAAACGAAAAAAAAGCCCATTGCGCATGCGGAACAACGCATCCCATAAATATTTCTATGCACAAGTCTCTCATAAAACGTGCTTTGGATATTTGAATAGTTGTTTTGGCTTTGTATCAAAATCAAAATTGGCCAAAGCTTCATTAAAATTTCAAGTGGGGGTGTGGTATGTTTAAAGCAGCTTAAAAGCGTGGAAGGCAACAATTAAAGCCAGAATTAATTGAGGAAATATGGTGGCAAATTTATAGGTATGCAACCAGAAATAACCTGGTTTACGTAAAAAATAAATTGATTGAATCATAACAAAAAATATTAAAAAATAATATGATAAAATACAACTTTTCAGACGAACAACAGATCTTCGTCTAGAAAATGATAGAAAACCACAAATATTACTAATATTACCAATAAATACCAACAAAATTGAAAACATGTCCAAGATTTGTTCGAATGCTGTTAAAATCTTAAGACATCAAATTGAGAACAATTATTTTAGAATAGAGAAGAACATTTAATTGAGTATCTTATCTTTTTAAGACTTAATTTAAGACCTTGAAATTCTTCTTTTAAAGTTTTTCATTGAACAATTTATTTAGTTCTTATTGAGTCTAGAGTCAATCTCTCATAACTTCCTATTAATTACATCCTCCACAGAACCTGGTCTACTCCAAGGAAAAGAAACGCCGATTGCGCATTATATTATGCATTGTTGGTGCAATTGTCGCCGTTGCCCTACTGGCTACATTGCTGGTCATATTCCTGGGCAGCGACGATGATAACGGCAGCAGTGATAAGCCCAATGATAATGCCATCAATCTGGAGGATGTGCTTAGCGGACAATTATATGCGAAACGCTTCAATGGCAGCTGGAGCAATGGCAACAATGTGATATACAAGGAACATGCGGTAAGTGCAACAAATATCCATCCCTATCCAAATGTGTATATATATGGAGCCCAAACATTGCAGGACATTGTGGAGATGGATCTAAAGACGCTGGCAGTCAACACGCTGTTGGCCAATGCATCACACTATGTGCTGTATGAGAAATCGGCAGATGGTCAACTTTTGCTGCTGGCCAAGAACTATAAGAAAAACTTTCGCTATAGTTTTCTGGCCCAATATGATATATACAATTTGAGCTCGAATATCATGTTACCGTTGACCATACAGAATGAGCCAGCTTTTCTAAGCATGGTTCAATGGTCTCCTGTGGGCAATGCGTTGATCATTAACTATAATCGCAATCTGTACTATAAGAAGAGCGCTTTAGAGACAGAAATACCAATTACAACCAATGAGAACGGCATCTATTTGAATGGCATACCCGATTGGGTCTATGAGGAGGAGGTGTTCAGCTCGAATGTGGCCACCTGGTTCAATCCATCCGGCACACAAATATCATTCATTCAGTTCGATGATTCACCCACGCATGTCATCAATTTCCCCTATTATGGCGATGCTGGCGATTTGCGTTTCCAATATCCTTTGCATCAGGAGATACCATATCCCAAGGCGGGCTCCTCAAATCCCCGTGTAGTGCTCTTCATAGCAGATCTCGAGGCAGCAGTGGCTGGCAATCACTATCTCACTTCCATGCCAGTGCCAAGTGCACTCAACACTGAAACTGATTATATAGTCACCGTTGTCAGTTGGCTGGATGATAATAATGTTCTGTCCGTATGGATGAATCGCATACAGAACGCTGCTTATGTTGTCAGCTTCGATGGACGTAGTCGGAAGGTGGTAAGTATCCAAGAATACAACATAAAATTAATATCATCTTTCTTTATTTATCCTTTGTGATTAATAAATAAAACATGTTATTTAATTAAAAAAGAAATTTAGTATTAAATTCGAAATAAGAAAATGAAGACATATTTATAATATTTGAAATTATTAAATTAAAACCTTAACTTGAGGCATGCCGAAAAGGGCTTTTAATTCTTGTTAAAAATAAATAGAGACCAGTAGATGAATATGAAAAAATAATAAATAAGTTTAATAGAAGTTCGTTCGATCAATTTCCCGACATAATTGAAACAAGAGTGTTTTTGTTGCGATTGCCCGACTATAAGATACCCAGTACGCACCCCTAAAATACAATTAAGTATTTTTGGAGATTCCACAGACAAATTGATTATATTGAAGAAAATAATGAGAGTAAGAGTTGGAGAAAACAAAGTATTCTTGATATGTGTATAATTTACAAGAACATTTGCACAATTCCAAAATAACCTATATTATCAATTTTTAAAGGGAATGTAATAACGGGCAGATAATTGCAGGAAAGTGTACGATGAGCACAAAGGAATTAAATTGTTTTTTCATCCTGTCTCTTTATGAATCAGTCAATTAAAAGCTGCATTTAATACCTCCTTGAACTTCATTCACAGCTCTACAGCACAGAATCGAAGACTGGTTGGGTTGATCTGTATACGGCACCATTTAAGAACCGTAACGGTTCACGGCTCGCATTTGTGCTGCCCCATGAGAACTATAAGCAACTGCAACTGCTGTCGACAGATGTGAGCAATGCGAAGTTGGAGCCACTGACTAGCGGCAAGTTCGTTGTGGACAGCATACTCCATTGGGATGCGACGCATGATGTCATCTTCTACACGGCCAACACAGAAGAGCATCCCGAGCAGTTGCATCTCTACGCAATACGTGCGGCGACAACGCGTAAGCAGACGGCCAAGTGTCTCACATGCAAACTGATGACATCGGGCGATGTGGAACAGAGCTATTATTCGGCCATTTTCAATGACCATAATGAAATTGTGATTACCTCGCTGGGACCGGGCATACCCACAACATCTGTGTACGAGTGGACCTATGCGAACTGTAAGTGAATTATAATTATCTTTACTCAAAAATATTGTCTTGAATTTGATTTCACACGATAAACAGCTCAGGTGACGCTGAAGAAGCTACTGGATTGGGAGAGCAATGAGGTGTTGCGTGGCAAGCTGCAGGGCGTGGCAGTGCCCTCCCATAAAATACTCACAATCAACATCGATGGCGGTTTCCAGGCGAAGGTGCTGCTACAATTACCGCCCAATTTGGATACCAGTGGCAAAACCAAATATCCAATGCTTGTCGATGTCTACGGCGGACCCGATTCATATTCGGTAAGTTTGCAATGCATTCAGCTGGATCAATCAATCAAAAATGTAATGCTTACGGTCCTTTTTGTGGTAGGTGACAAACAAATGGATGATGGACTGGGGCACTTATCTGTCCTCGAATCAATCTGTGATCTATGCTAAGATCGATGGACGCGGCTCGGGTTTGCGGGGCGAGACCCTTTTGCATGCAATTTATCTGCAGCTGGGCACTGTCGAGATAAGTGATCAGATAAAGGTCACGCAGTAAGTAAAAAAATACACACTGTATAACAATATGAATTTTACTTAGTCTTCCAATTAACTGGTTTTTATTTAGTATTAGTTTTCAAGCTAAAACACTTTTTGAGAGTTTCACTCAACAAATTTATTCTATTTTATTTTTAAACTCTATTTCAAAATTTTTAAGAAACTTTATTTTACTTGTATAGTTAAGTGTTAAGTTTTGTAATTTTTTAAATTGAAATTAACTATTTATTTATTTATTTTAATTTACTCATCTCGTTCTAGGAATCTGACGGAAATGTTTAACTACATCGATCCTGATCACATTGGCATCTGGGGCTGGAGCTATGGTGGCTATGCGGCGGCCATGGCCCTGGCTAATGATAACAATAATGTATTCAAATGCGCTGCCTCCATTGCACCAGTCACCGACTGGACCTATTATGGTGGGTTTAACTATCAACTTCATTGAGACTGTGGCTAAATGTGGCTTTTGCCTTATAGATTCCATTTATACGGAACGTTATATGGGCTTGCCGGAAACTAATGAGATTGGCTATGCCAACTCTAGACTGAGCACGCGTGCCGAGAAGCTGCGGGACAAGAAATATTTGCTCGTCCATGGCACATCCGATGACAATGTGCACTACCAGCAGGCTATGATCCTGGCCAAGAATCTGGAGCGACACGACATTCTGTTCAAACAAATCGTACGTCAAATCTCATGAAATATAAGGTTTATCATTGTTAATAAATAATTTTGTATTTATATTATTTTTTTGCTTATGCAGAGCTATGCCGATGAGGATCATGGACTGGCCAATGTGCGTCCGCATTTATATCACTCGCTGGATAGATTCTTTGGCGAATGCTTTGCCAGCAGCCGGCTGATGAAGAGCGCCAAGTAGGGTGTCTCAAACTAAATAAAACTTAAAGTCTAGTTTAATGAATTTAATATGATAAAATGTAAAAGCTTGCAGGAAAACTAGAGAAGAGCTAATTAATTGGTACTTAAAAAGTTGCATTTCAATTTATAAAAGTTTCATGATAAATCAATTAAAAAATGTAGTTAAAAATGCTTCAGAACACCAAAAAAAAAGACACACACACAAAATAAAATCAAACTAATGCAGGTCCAAAAGTGTTATAAGATAACTTTGAACAATAATATTTGAGAAAATGCATTTTAAGACATTTTAAGCATACAATTTAAAAATAAAAATATATTTATAGAAAATAAATCAAATTAATTATTAACTAGCTGCAGACGATGTCAAAAACGTAGTTAGTGCCTGTTCAAATAGAAATTTCAAATTATACTGAAAACAATTTCACAATTAAACTGTAGATAACATCTAGGAATTTTTGTAAATCATTTGCTGGCGCTCAAATTAATAACTAGTAGAGAAAAAAAACTTGCAACTTAATGAGAAAAGCATAAAAGATAATAATGAAAATAAATCTGTACATTTTTTCCAGCTGAAATAATTAGCTTGTAGTCTCTTAGTTTTTTTAATTTGCCGCATTGTAAAAAACAATCACTGAATTTGTAAATAAATAGTTGTTAAAAAGGCTTTTGTAAATTAGATGGAAAATGTGTATAGGCAACAGTTAAAATGGAATAATAAAATCACACAAAACAAAACAAAAACAAATATAAATGTATTCAATTACAAAATTCCATTTGATTTCACCGATTATTCCCCAATACCGACCAAATTGAAACCATCAATAATAATAATTAATATTTGTGGCTTTCAGTACACAAACCGGCTCGCTTTATTGCCTTGGCCCCAAACTGGGTTACGCACATAGAACCAATCATATATCTCATATATCGTCTATATATGTATTTTCTTTTTAGTGGCCTACTGGCGCATTAATTGCCTTCTTCTTCCTTAACAGTTTTTAAGTGTCAAAATTGGTGTTCGGTAAATATTAAATATACATATATATTTTTAAAATTTACGTATTTGAAATGGGGTTTTCTATATCTTGAAATCTGTATTTTTCAATTGATATTGATTAACTTGAAACTGACGATAAATCATTTAATCGCTATATTTTTATATTATTTTCGAATTCGAAGCATAATTTGTATGGTACAAAAATATTTGTTTCTTTATTTTGATTTAATTTTACGTTGTTTTCTTCTTTCTTTTTTTATATCAACGTTTTCAGATACTTTCTAAATGTTGAATATTTTCTTATACTATTATACGCAAATTAACTTTATACACATGCTTTTATTCACATTTGTTTAATGTTTAAAATTGTTGCTTAGTATTAATATTAAATGTAATATTTATAATTGTTTGTGGATATATACAATACAATTTGGGCTCTCTGAAATGTTTACATACATAAGTATGTAGCAAGGGACAAAGGTGAAACTATTGCTGATCTCACTTAAATGTCAAAATGTGCATTTTGGGCATGATAATAAATAAAATATACAGTTTCTTGTACATACCTATGTATGCATTGTTTAAACACAAGCTCAATTTGTTGGCAACTCTAAAACTTATGGAGAACTAACAACTATTTTGTATATATAGAGATAATATGAATCGATTGTAAATATAACACACTTCTACTGTAGATAAACCTCCTGGACAACCTCATGATGCTGTTGCTGCTGTGGATCATGATCCTGCAGATCATCCTGCAATTCCAGCTGATGATGCTGTAGATGGTGCTGTTCATGATGATGATGATGCTGATGATGTTCCTCAATGACAACACCCTCGCCATCATCATATTCAATTAATTGATCCTCCGTTTCCGCTTGCTGATGATGATCAATGATTATGTGCTCCTGTTCCACCAGATGGTGTTCATGTTGATATTCGTGCTGTTGCTGCTGTTGCTGCTGCTGCTGCTGCTGCTCCTGCTGCTGCCAGCGCAGTGGCGGCGGCGTTGTTGGCGTCGCTATATGCTGCACTGGCTCATGCATGGTTGTCGCCGTGCTCGTGGTACCGCCTGTGGCGGATGTGGTTGTTGTTTGATAAAGGGTTTGCTGATTCCTAACAATATGACCGGCGGCAGTCACATTTGTGACGCTGGCACGCTGATTGGTGCGCGTCAATGTAACTGTCACCTCAGACCCAAGGCCGGCAAAGGAGACGGACGGTGTTGTTGTTGTCGTTGCTCCTCCAGAGGCAGATGCTGCTGTTGCTGTTGTTGCTGTTGCTGCTGCTGTTGCTGTGGCTCTGGCCTGAAGTATCTTGCGTGTGGGCAACTGTGTTGTGCTGGCTGTGGAAGTTGTTGTTGATGTTGTTGTTGCTGCTGCTCCCGTTTGTGGCACATAGTTAATGAGCAGCACTCGCTCCCCACTGGACGTCTGTGCCGCATGGCCACGCAAAACGCGACGATGCATTGTTCCATTGCCAGATGAGGATGTTCCAGCTGTTGCTGCTGATGTAGCTGTGCTGCTGATGCTGCTCAGGCTGCTGTTCACTGTTGCTGCTGCGCTGCTGCTGTTGCTGCTATTGTTGCTGCTGCTGCATTTGCTGATGTTGCTGCTATACTGCTGCTGCTGTTGCTGCTGTTGTTGTTGCTGTTGCTGCTGCGCTTGCTGCCCACCGCCCCCGGAGACACCACCTCCTCCAGGGCCACCGGTCATATCGTTGGCTCATCATTACGTATTATTACCGCCTTTCAAAATGAAAACCTTCTTTACCAAAATATTCTTGTTGTTGCCCTATTTTACATTCGATTATTCGTGAGTGATTCACATTTGTCGATTGATTTATGAGTTGGCAATAATTTGATATATATATATATGTTCATATATATTTTGTTTGTTAGGTTAGAGTTGTTGGTGAGTTAACAACGAGGCAGCGAAAAGAGAGAAGACAAGATATAAAAAAACGAATTTGTTAATGATCTGGTTATGGATACCAAATGAGTTTAAATGTTAGGACAGTGCGGGGAAGACGACATGAAATGTTTTCTCAAAAAAATAATAAATCATATTATTTGCAGTCAATTTAATTTGACTTTTAAATCTTGTTTTGTTTTCAAAATGTATTTATGCTTTTTAATGGTATAGTTTTTAAATTGTAATACTTTATTATTATCAGTGACTTTTGGTTTTCTTTGTATTTTTATTTCATGACGCCCAATGTGATTGTGTCAGTGTGTGTGAGTTTCATGTTGATGCAGTAATTGATAAAATATAATTTAAAAAGTTGAAGAAATATACAAAAAAAAATTCAAAATGTATTGGTAAAATGTACTTCAACGACAGAGGAAGAGTTAGTCATGGGATGATAACAGGTAACAAACACAGTTAGTAACAAATGATAAACATACATCGATTATATAAAGACAAAAGTAAAAAAAAAAACAAATTAAAAATTAAGAATGTGTTCTACAAATGTAAAGAAAAACATCTAACACCAAATTTGCAAAAAAAAAAAATTCATTGAAATATTTTTTCAAACATTTTCTTCTTTTTTTTTTTTGGTTTATTCATGTATGTATATTTAGTTTAAATAAAATTTAATTTTATTTAAGTCATAAGAGTTAAGGTATTTTTTTTTCAGACAGGCCAAATCTTTGCAACATTAAAAAAACAACAAATATTAATAAACTATATTTTTTGTATAATTTCAAGGAAAAAATTGAGGCAAATATGTGACCCATCCTAAAAGGCGACTTATTTTAAAAAATTTGCAACTATTAAAATTAAGAAATAATTTTGTAAAAATATAGATTTTTTCTTTTATGTTTTTTTTTTTGTTTGTTTGTTTTTTTTTTTTTTTTTTTTAGATATAATTTAGAGCGCATAGTTTTTGTGGGCTACAATTTTTTGTACAGTACCCAGGACCAACGTGGGTCCAAGAGCAATGCACAAAAATAGAAACTATATCTTATAGATATCTGTGGCTTGGTTTTAACAGAGTTAAGGCAAAAAGAAGTACAGGTCCGTGTGGACAGCATCAAGTCTAACTAGACTACGGTGAAAGATCGATACGATAGATAGATAGATAGATAAAGCATCCATATTAATTTTTCCAATAATTTATACTAAATAGTATGTGTTTAAGCAATCCACACATTGTATAAGTATTGCACACATTTAAAAAACAATTGATCAACATTTTTGTGAAAGTGTCGTTAATTATCAATCCACGATTTTGAGCAGGCTCACTGATCTGATATTAGATTTGACTAGGATGCCTAGTCAGTTCAACTATGACTACATACACATAACAATGGCGGCGCTCGGGGGGTGGGGGGTGGGATATGGGGAAAGGGGATCGTTGTACGTGGCAAACTAAAGCAAAATTACATAGTCCAATAACCATAGCGCGTTCTTAAACATAACTAAGTATTGCGAAACAAATTAAACATAGCGAAATCAATAATTAAATTTAAATAATTGTACAACAAAATTGGTTATAAAAACTAAAAGACACTTGTGAAATGCCGAGCAAAGAAAACTTAATGACACTGGTCTAAAGTCGATATTGAACATTAGTTTGAAGTGCTTGAAAATTGAAACGAGCTTAATTGTTTTTTTCTTTCGTTTTTTTGTTTTTTATGTTTCAAGTTAATTTGTGCTTGTTGAACGACGGCTCGACTTTAAGCCAGTGTCATTAACTGTGATCGAATCTGGACAATAGTTGTGTAGACTCAAGCACAGTTGGTTAATTACAGTTTGCTCCACATATCCATAAGTTTAGATGGTAGAAATTTAACTACACGCATTCCGGGAAGAGTAAAGCGTATTGTGGTGAACCAAGTCAAGGGATTGGGTATCAAAAATTTATGTTTTCTACGATTCCGTCCGATTCGTCAAAATGTTGCTTGTTGCTACTCAAAGCGTCTGTTGTGGTTGTGTTTGTTGTTGTTGTTGCTGTGGTTGTTGTTGTTGTTGCTGCTGCTGCTGCTGCTGTTGTTGCTGCTGCGGCTGTTGCTGTTGTTGTTGAAAATCAGTCATATTCACCTGATTTATATTGCCAATGATCTGATGACCCTGCAACGTTTGCACCTGAGCAATTGATAACGGCGCACCACTCTCACTGCCATCCGACTGAGCCACCAGCTGTTGTTGCTGCTGCTGATTGGCCGCCTGCTGCTGGGCGGCAGCTTGTGCACTGGTCGTTGGCGTTGTCAGGTTGCCTGACGAATCGATGATCTGATGATGCAACGTCTGCTGCTGTTGCACTTGAACTTGCTGCTGCACCTGCTGCTGTTGCACTTGGCCGCCGGCTGTGGTTGTTACTGTCATTGTTTGTTGTTGTTGTTGTTGCTGCTGCTGCTGTTGTTGTTGCTGCTGCTGTTGCTGTTGTTGCTGCTGCTGCTGTTGCTGCTGCTGTTGGGCATCGGGATCCTTTTTCACTTGCACGCCTTGTAGTGGATGTAGCGATTGCACCGTTTGCACTTGAGGCACAACTCCGCTGGAGTTCAAAGTGCCACTGCCGCCTTGAGACTGGGATTGAACGGAGCCAGGTGTGCTGCTGCCAGGTTTCTTGCCACTGGGTACTGCAAAGTATATCAGGGAAGATGAGTATAAGCATTGTGGCCACAAAGAGCAAAGTGTTAATGAGTAAGGAGTCAACGACTACGCGACAGGGCGACACCAAAATACTGGGCCAGAACTCGAACAGTTGAGATAATAACAACCTGACTACAAACAACGACAGCGGGTACAGGAGAAGGATTGAGAGAAAGTTAGGTGTGTGTGTACGTGTGTGTTTGTATAAGTGTATAGGTGTTTGTGTGTGTTAAATTATAAACAAAAATAAAATTTAATAACTACTAAATGATATCAATGAGTTAGTTATCAGAATGAGAACAAAATATGGGAGGATGTGGCGAGTTAAATCGAAAATTTAAAAAAAAAAACTGAGACAAAATAAAATAATAAAATCGAGCAGCAAAAAACGAAATTTAAATAAATGTTACTTTTTTAAAATATAGCCAAAAAAAAAGTTACAATAAACCACAATTGGTTAAAATTAATATCAAATTTGAGCTCAAAATCAAAATACAGTATTTTCTTGCAAAGACAATAAAACTAAGAACATAGTGCACACGAAATGAGAGCCAATTAAAAAGAGACGTTCGATATGTATAACAAATATGATAAATAAATCAATATTAATATCAAATTGCCGCAGCATCAAAAATTAATTGCAAAAAATTTTGGTTATATAAAAATGATATACGTATATATTTATTAAACAATTTGTAATATATATAATTATATATTATTTAAAGAGAAACTTAAAGTGAATTTTCTTTTTTGTTTTTAAGCCACAAAGGAAGCTTACAATTTAAAATTAATTGTTGTTTTTGTATCTTTTTTTTACATCTTAGAAATTATTACGCGACATGATTTATTTTTTAAAGTTTTTTTTTTTTTTAAGTAAAATAGTTAGAGTATTTAGCGTTATATGCAAGAAAATACTGCATAGATTGTTATTATTATTATTATAATTATTATATGCTTGTGTTAAGAATGTATAAGCGAAATTATGAAACTTACAACAAAAATTATACAAAATGAAGGAAAACATTCATTTGCTGACGGATTATTTTGTTTATCATTTTGTTATTTACAAACATTGTATATGTGTGTGTGTGTGTGTGTGAGCGAGTGTGTTGTGTTGTGTTACATGTGTGTGTGTTTAGGTGGAATGATTAGGCGGGCGGCATTGGGCGACGGCGTCATTATTGTTATTATAATCATAATCATTATTGTTGCTGTTGCTGCGGCATAAACACTTGATCGCCCACAATGTGTATAACATTTTGCATGCCCTGCTGTTGTTGCTGCGCAGCGGCGCCGCTGCTGGTGCCACTGCCACCGCCGCCGCCGCTGCCGCCGCCACCAGCGCCGCCGCCCTCATGCTTGACATTGACGCCCATTAGATGCGCTTGACCTCCACCCGCGCCGCCAAGCGTTGTTGTAGTCAAATGTTGTTGTTGCTGCTGTTGTTGTTGTTGCTGCTGCTGTTGTTGCTGCTGTTGTTGTTGCGTCGCTTGGTGATGATGCTGCTGCTGTTGCAGTTGCTGCTGTGGCAACACCGTACTGGCCATAATCGTATTACTGCTGGACGTGGGCGTTGCAATTACCCTTGTGATGGGCGTGCCACTGCCACTGACTGGCGTCGCACCCGCCGCACCCGATGCAACACTGGTGTCGCCCTCCGCCGTCGTATTCAGTTCACCGCTGGTGTCTAGTGTTGTATCATTACCGGACTTACTTTTCTTCTCCTTTTTGACGCCCGGCTTGGCGAAGTGCCGCAGCTCGAGATGGCGTCGCAGATTGCGCGATTGACGTATGACCGCATAGCAAATGGGGCATGTTGCAGGCTGTTCCGATTGTGATCGTGATCGTGGTTCTAGAAATCGAAACAAACAACGTATTATTATCAATTATTGTTATTAGATAACAAAGCCACACAACAACAATTGAAAAACTCACTTTCTGTGCCAGGCGGATGTTTGGTGCGTTTGGCCTTGGGCGTGGCGGTGGTGCCACTGGCGCTAGGCGTTACCGTTGTTCCAGATGCTGTCGTTATCTCACCGGTGGCCGCATTGGCCGATGTCACAGGTATCATATTGTTGGGATCCATGGTCACAATTGTCTCAACCTTTTGCCCTTCACTCTTGATGATCGGCGTCGTCGACAACAGTTGCGTTTCGGCGCCATTCTCATCGAGCACCTGCTGCTGTTGCACCACTTGCTGTTGCTGTGCGGCCGCTGCGTGCGATGAGGTCGGTGTGCCCATAATCGTGTCCATGCCTTCAATTTTGCTTATTTTCGGTGCCGTTGCTGTGCAGAAAACCAAAACACACAAAAAAATAAAAATCGAATTCGAATTTGATGTGAAAGATCCAATTCGAGACTTACGTGACATTTTTTTGACACGCGGCTTTCGTTTGCGTGCGGGTAAGAAACTTTGTATGACGGCCTGATCATGTTTGGATGTATCCGCTGTGACAATCGTCTGCTGGTGGCCGGCGGCATTGGTCTGTGTGGTCGCCTGCAGTATCTGTCCCTGATGGTGAATGTCCTCCACAACCTGGGCGTGCACAGTTTGCTGCGGTGCCGTTGCAATCGTCGCTATCAATTGGTCCTGTTCATGGTGCTGGGGTATCATATGCTGCAGTTGTATCGAGTGCGTTGTATAATCATCTTTAGTCACCGTCTGCGGTGCCAGGCCCTGAATATTGAGGCACTGTGCCGCCTGCAACAGCGATGGCAACTGTGCATGATCGACGCTCACTTCGCCACGGTAGACAAACTCGAGCAGTGCCTCCAAATCGTTGGCATTGACGCCAGCCAACATCACCACTGGATGTTTGCATGGCGTGTTCTGTATATTTAATAAAGCAAAAAAGCAACAAACCGAATGCATTAAATAATATATTTCTATATAATTAACCAAAGAGTTGGCTTATATTAATATGAGCATGATTCTGTAATAATTTGTTAATCTGTTTTAAAAATTCAATTTGAAATTTACTTTTTGAAATTATATATAAATAAAAAGTTGGAATCACAAAATTTAGTGATAAGAAATGTGACGAGAACAAATGACTTGTTGACCGATTACAATTTACACCCGTGTTATCACACACACACACATATAGCATAAAAATGCAACAGACAGTCAACATTTCTTTGCGGAAATCATGTTGAACAATTCTGCTGCTGGGTTAAGGAATTTCTCTGGCAATATTTGTACCGTTGCCTTTTTTGGCGCTCCAAAATTCACTTGCCGGTTGTGTTGTGAACTGAGCGCGCGCTCAGCTAATGGTTGACTGCGGCTGACAGAGACAAAAGAATTGGCCATCACAACTGAGACGGAGACCATCAAAACAAACGGATAAATAGTCGACAAACTCACACACACACACATACACACGCACAGCAGACACGCACACGCACACACACACACACACAGACACAGAGATACACGCATACTCTCATCACAACAATAAACCGGCTTTTGGCTTTGCTATGCGCGCTCTGCATTTCTGCAGCAGGATTGGAGATGCTGCTCGTTGCTCTGCTCAAGAAAGAGCAACCCGCTCACTCACTCACTCGCTCTCGCATTGCCAGCGAGATTTAATTAGCGGGCAAAAGTAAAATATTTCTGTGGCAAACAGAGGCTCGCTTAAAGCAGCGGTGAGCGACTACTGCTTACCCTACCCCTCCTCTCTCTCTCTCTTCTCTCACCGTCAGCGCTGCTAGCGGTGCGCCTCTCACCCAAATCTCTTTAAATGTCATCCAGCCGCGCTCCGTCGCACTCAAACCCGCAGCAAGGCCACGTAGCAAACGCTCTTTGAACTCTACACTCCCTTCAGATATAGTTTGACTGCTTTGCCGGTTTACCTAATGCTGCTGCTGCGGCTGCGGCTACGACTGCTGCTGACGTCGCAGTCGCCATTGCTGACGCTCATCGATTTTTTCTTTTTATTTTTTACAGAGTGGTTGCTTTTCGCTGGTTGCATTTTCTGCTGCTGAGGGAGCAGAGCAGCGGGAGCAACAAAGAGCATTGTGTACGCGTTTAGCATGTGTGTGTGAGTGTAACGAGATCAGTGACTGACTGCCTGTCTGCCTGCGACTCTTGCAGAGTTCACTTCACATACACATATGTAAGAAAAAAAAAACAATTTTTGACATTTCCCGCGAACCGACTCTGAGCGACGTTTTTCACAAATTACGCTCTGTTTACTTTTTGAATGTGGGAGCAGCGAGCGGAAAGCAGCAAGTAGCGAGCGTAAAGCCGACGCCAGCCAGCCAGGCAGCCCAGTGTCAGGTGTTCTACACTCTGTTTTGCTCTGTTTTGGTCATTTGACATGTGGACGCCGCAGCAGCAGCAGCAACAGCAGATGATAACAGAGAATATCTCTGATTATCTGATTTGCGCTGATCAGAAGCGAACTAGTTCTAGTTCTTTTATAAATGTGTAGTGCAAATATTGAAGTAAATATATCAAAAAGAAAATATAAAAAGCAATGAAATGCAGCATTGATATAAGTACAGTAGAGCACTTGAATTTCAAAACGTTAAAATGTAGCAAAAAAAAAAAGAAAAAAATATACAAAATCAAATCAAAAGGCAAATGAGTTCTACATACATAGGTAGATATGTATTAAAAGCTATATATGTATTCATACATGTTCATATATAATTTTGATACGAACTGTGTACATTTTACAGTGAAACTTGGATATGGCAAACACACACACACACAGAATAAACAAAACGATAGCAATATTTACGTAAGTCAACTGAGCACTTCTCGGCAGTATATTATTTTAATAAAAATAAAAAAACCATATAAATAAATAAAAGTTTTAAATTTATGCGTTTTTTCGTGTCTCCATACCCAATATAAACTGTACATTTACAAACACATACAAAGCAAAAAGAGGTCGCGCTCGTGTGCACCCAACAACAGCCAACAAGAGCCAGTCAGGCAGCCCCGTCGCTTGGCGGCGGCGCTCTCGTTTGCGCTCGCTCTAACACATTCGAACTGAAAGTTGGCGCAACTTTAGCTCCCCATCCCCTCATTCCCCCTCCTGAACACAATCTTGCTCCGTTGCGCTCTCACTCTCACGTCAGCTCTCTGCCTCTCTCGCTCTCACTCTCTCGCTCTCGCTCTCCCTCTCACTCTCTCGCTCTTTGATATAAAAGCTTATAAATTTTTATAACAAACAAGTTGATAAGCAGGAGGGGGGCTATCAGGGGGCATTGACAACGTCAGCGTTGGCGTTGGCGCAAAAAAAAAGAAGAAAAAAGAGTGTGCAGCCGCAGCAAAAGCAACTCATTCAACTCAATTGACAATTGAAAAGTTATACAAAAATCTCTGGCAAACTAAAATAACGAAAGAGGAAAGTTAGCCAGGAGCTGGCTGAGCGCGAGTGAACACGTCTTCAACTCACACACACGCACACATACAAATGCACACATAGAGAGATTGAAATTGAGACACGCAGGCAAGCTCAACATGCACATGGTGAGTTGGAGACACACTCACACACACTCACACACACGCAGTCACAAATACATATTAACCTATTTGGCAAGTCGGACAACGATGTTGATTTCTCTGTTTACAAACTGTACACACAACACATGCCAGCAGCAAAAAAAAAAAAAATTATTGCTGGTTGAGGTTATGTGTGAAAAATGAAAAAAAGCTCTCTTTACTCACCTTTAGCAGGTCCAACAGAAATGGCGATGCCGCACAGAGCACAATTTTGTGCGCTGGAAAACTGCGTCCGCCGGCGGCCAACGTACAATCGACTAGGTCGCCATGGCAGCGCAACAATTGTATGGCCGATACCAGAGATGTGCCATAATCACCCCAGGTGAGCGAGTACAGTGAATTCATTGGCAACGACATCAGGGCTGTCGTCTCCAAATCCAACAGTTGTTCTCCAGCGTTGTAATTGTATTGATTGCTGTTCGTAGCCAACACGACGACGCTATTTATTATTACAGTTTAACAAACGAGAAATTCTATTCCAAATTGTTTTTTTTTTTAATGAAAAAAAGGCAGCTTCAAATAATGTTGATGCTGCTGTGCTGCTGCTGCTGCGGCTCCACCACCAGCACCACGTTCTCAGAGCTTTCACGACTTCGACTGAATGGCGCGCTGCTTATCGTTGTCCCCCTGTTGAAAATATATAAAGAAAAAAAAATAAGAAACAAGAGTAAAGAGCATGAGCAGATGGCAGGCAAACAACATACAACTCATGCGCTCTCGCTCTCTCGCGAGATAAACTTTTCGACTTGCATGTGTGCGAGTGTGTGAGTAAGAGAGTGGGAGGGGGAGAGGCCTGGGGTATGACTGGCGCATGAGCTCCACGCGCACCCCTCACTACCGCTCACGTTCGCTCGCAAGCGCTGTGAGCGCGCGTGAGTGAGACAACAAGAGAGCAAGTTTTACAGCTCGTATATGAAATGTGGGCCGTCCGCCCGCCCGCACCACCCCTCCCCCCCTCCCACAAACACACACAGAGACCGACCGATAGACGACGACGGAACGTATGGAAATGCATGACTTTAGACTTGGAAAAAAACACACACACACATCTAACGAATGAACTGGCAACAAATAAAATTTGTTCTTTGAATATCAAATAAAAATAGCGCGCCATCAGCACAAATACACAAACACACACACACAGGCACAGCAATATGCATATTTTGATCGGGTTTTCCCATTCTATTTTTTTCTTTTTGAAATGTGTGGTTTTTTTGTTGCTTTTTGGTTTTAGCGTTTTTACAGTTTTGTACAGTTAACGCGGCATTGCATTTGTTTCAAAACTGCACAGATTCATTCACAATTGTGTTGTTATTGTTGTTGCTTTTGTTTGTTTACACGCCGTCGCTCCCGGAGCGAACAGAATTTTATGCATGTTGAAATTATCTTCTCACCGGAGCGCAAAGAAAAATCTGCTTGCTGCTATTTTATACTCGGTTATTGCTTTCCCTTCTTGGCCGCCACGGCGCTCACGGCTGTTGGCTCTGATAGCTCTTGGTTTACTTTTTTTTTTGCTGCTGCTGCTCTGCTCGCCAACGTTGAATAACTCGAACTGAGCTCTGAGCATTTCGATCGAATTACGTTCTGCCAGCGCGACGAGTTTTAGTCTCTATACGGAGAAAATTTCTGATCATGCGCGCAGAACCGCTTTTTGGTGGTGGTTCATCGTCACTGTGTGCGTGTGTGTGTGAACGTATCTATGTGAGCATGTGTGTGTCTGTGTGTGTGTAAGACTGTTGCTGCCGCCGTGAGCGCATGAGAGTGAGAGAGATGGCTGGCAGTGCGCGCTCTTGAAAGTACAGTTGACTAGCAGCGTTACCAGACGCAAACAAAATTTAAGTGAAACGCAAAATGCAAGAGCATTTTTAGCGAGGCAAACAAAATACTAGTACAATAAAAATAAATTTTTAAAAAAGCAGCGAGTGGAATTTGTTTTAATAACATACATGTGTCGAACACATAAATTTAAAATGTGCATTGCTGAAAACAAAAATATATACTTTTATATAAAGGTATCATAGGCAATTTGAACTGATCAGTACTAAAGTTTATAGTTTAGATACTTTTGGGTTTAGTTGCTTTAATTCCTTCGAACAGATCCTGTTCAAAAAAGCCGGTTCGCTCTTACAAATTCTATTTTGCCTGCTGCTCAGTTAGCGTACTCTTTGGGCACCTGTTATTTTGAGGCATGCATGCTTGCATCCCAGAGACAGGCAGCTCGACCCTATTTTTATGCAGATCAAGTCCCGCTTAAGAGCAGAACTAAACGGGGAGAGTACGGAGAGAATTACCAGTGAGAGTTCTTCATCCATGGTGCGTCCAATACTCTGAGAAGTAGTTAACAAAGTGAGCGGCATGTGAGTAGAGCCGAAATAAAAAAACAAAACCAAACCGACGCAAGATTACAATTTTCTCTGTTTTGATTTTGATGCTGCTGGTGCTGGACACGAGAAATGTTAATGCCGCTTTAAAAGTCCAATCAGCATTAAAGCAGTGAGTGGTGAGCAGTGAGCGTATTTCATAGCTGGCAATGCTCACCGAGAGCCATTGGGTGGGCCTGGGTGGTGATGGTGAGAGAGAAGCATGGGGAGAAACAGCGTGACTGAATGAGCAGCGCACAGTGGGCCGAGCAGACTTGTGCTGAAGCCCATGCAGTTAGTTGCGTTTAAAAGACTGCTGAACCACTGTGCAATTGGCTGGCTGAAATTCGAACGGCACGACATTGCTTGGCCTCGCGGCCACTTCCCTCTTCGCCCCTCTGCACCCCTCTCCCTGTTAACCTTATCATCGTTTTTGTTCTTGTTTCTGTAGTCGAAGTCTATTTAAAAAAAAAAAGCGTAATACTTGAAAAGCAGTACACACATGCTAAAATTTGTTGAAAACGTATAAGCAAACAGAAATACACACACACATACATTTATATGTATATATATAAATATGTCTGTATGTGTGTATGTATATTTATTTGCCTGTTTACACATCTGAGTTTTTGTATGAATTCATTTCGACGCCAATCCAATTATAAACTCATTTTACTGGCAACATTCACTAATTAATTTATTTTGCGAAATTTTATTTCCGAGACGAGAACGAAACAAAAGCATCTCCACCCGTTTTGAATGTCGTCGCAATAATAAACTCATTTTTACATACAAAAATTGGAACCTCTGACTGCGGCCGAATAACAGCGCCAGTCAGTTTCCCTCTCCTGCCGAGATACAAGCGGAGAGGTTTGCGACACTGTCGATGAGAGGAGAGGATAGCGCCGGGCGCGCGTACTCCAAGAAATGGTACAAAAGCGGACCAAACACACTATTCAAGAGTTGTTCTTTTTTTGTTGTTTATTCCCTCATTGTCTTGCTTTCTATTTGTGTGTGTGTGAGTGCGCACTCACAGACATGAAGAGACTCTCATTGAGAGAGAGAGAGTGAGAGAGAGGGGAAAGAGTCCAAAGTCACGCAAGGTGCTGCTCTGTTATTGTATCCAATTTCCACAAATTGAAAATCTTCTGAAATTGCAACGAGATGCAAGAGATCTGCGCTCAGCAGCAACACAGACTGTGGGAGTGTGACCAAAGTGCAGGAATTTCAAAATAATATAAAAGAGAAAAATAGAGAGGGAGAGGGAAAAGAGCAATCTTTACAATACGCAAGCAGAACTTTTACTCCATGGAGAATTAACTGTATTCATGCACAGTAGTCGCTCGCTTACAGAGATTTTTGTTAAAGATTTTTAATCTAACCAGCAAGAGATTAATAGGTACTTTAAATGAACCGAAGATATTTTTGCTTTAATTTTTAAGTCTTCATTCAATTTTATTTGGAATGATTTGATTATCTACTACTCACCTGAAACTTTACCTACTTGCTGGGATTGGACCAGGCAACCGTTTGATAAGCGATCTGATTGCCAGCAGTTGTCGCATGGGCAAAAACGCATCTCTTGTTGACAATCACCGATAAGCGCACCTTGGCAATCAACTCGAGTGGACGTATAGCGGGCGTTGACTGAACGATGACAATGTGTGAGGCATGATATAGCAATGGATCGCCGGGATAGACCAGAAAATCGGCACCAAAAGCATCGCCAGCAGTGACATATTTGCCCCTTTTCCAGAGATCATGAAAAACCCGATATTTAAGCGAGTCAGTGTCATAAATTCGATCCGTATAAAGCTGAGCGGCTGGCAAATAAAATAAAACAATAGTTAATACAGATCATAAGTAAATGCTATTCGAATTTTGGGCCTACAATGATTGGGTAAATGGGCACACGGCACTTCCACCAGAGCATTCTGACGATCAAATTCAAAATGATTGCCAATCTCATCCAGCACATCTTTTGCTGTCAAATCGGCAGCTGCTAGGAAAGATTTTGTTTTTTACCATTATTTGTTATTAGTATGTTTTGCTTGCCACACACCCTCTGCTGTTTTGCCTTGCTGCAGCAACTTGTTGCGTTTGCCATTTAGAATTTTATCCACATGCCGTTTGGTTTCGCGTAACTTTTCCGCCTTTAAAGCATCCGCCTGGGCCAATAAACGCCTATCAAATTCCTCTTTATAAGCCATCAATTTAGCCGAATCTGGCTGTTTTGATAAATCAACAACTTTGCTAACCAGCACAGCGATGCCTTCGTCAATGAGCAACTGCGTCTCATAGTTAGTCAATGCCAACGGCAGAGCTGGAAGTTAAGATTGGTAACAACTGATTTCAATTGAGATAAAGGTCTCACCTGCTTCACTGGTGCTCCAGCCTCGGCTGTTGGCTGTGCCCACGAGAGCGCCCATTATGCGATGCTTTGTGCGCAGATCCATACAATCTAATCAAATTCGAGTAAATAAAAATTATATATTTATGTCTATATTTTACTAACATACCGTCCACATCGAAAATATAGCCGGTGCCGTTTAACAAGGTTAAATACATTTTTTCTTTAGCTTATTTTGTCCAAGCTTCTTCTTTTTGACAAAACCATCTGTTTTTGGCATTACCAAACATAACTTTTGCTGCACTGTTATTAACAGCAGGCACATTTTGCTAGCTGGTAATGTTAACATGTTAAGCTTTGCAAGAAGAAAATCTCTTTAATTTTGTGAAATTGAGATGAATGTGAAAAAGTAGTTATTCTCGTTTTTCTTTCCTACTAGTATATAAAGTAAATTAAATTACATCTTAAATTTAAATTTACCAGCTGTTCACAGGTTCCAAATCACAGATAGTCGCAATTTGGTTCCGCAGAACTAAATCTGAATGTGTTCTCAAACACTGCTTGATAAAATGTTGCGCTTTTAAATTTAAATTTACCAGCTGCTCACCGGTTCCAAATCACCGATTCTCAAGGGAGTCACAATTTGGCTCCTCTGAACTAAGTCTGAAACTCTTGCGAAAAGCTGGTTCCAGCTCACAGATTTTCAAGAGAGCAGCAATTTGATTCCGCTGAACTAAATCTGAATGTCTTGTCAAACACTGTTTGATCAAATATAGCGTTTGCCAACACACACTTGAAATTGAATGTTGCTTTTATTGTTGTTATTGTTGCTCTCGGTGGCGTTTTGTTAACATTTTCAACTCATGCATAAATTACGCGAGTGTTGCAACAATTTCCAAACGCATTTACATAACTAACCGACCAACTGCAACGAAAATGTAGTCAACACTGCTCAACGAGTATCTGTGCAAATTCGCAACAAGCAGAAAAAGAAAAAAACTAGGCAAATGAAGACACCACCCACAAAACACACAAAACAGTAGTCATTTTTCTCTTTTGTTGTTGTCTACACTCAATCAGTTCCTATTAAAGCAATTAGCGTGTCGTTTAACTAAAATTGCGTAAATTGCGCACTGATTGTGCGTTATTTGTGGAGCCCGCAATTAACTAAACATTACGTGCAGTGAGTAAAGAGCGTGTGTGGGTGTATGTGCGTGTATGGGTGTGTGTAGGTGTGTGTGTGTGACTCCCATTTGGGCACTGTTGCTAATGTTTATTTATATTTGTTTGTTCGTTTCTGTTTAATTTACAAATGTGTGTCGCAACTGAGTGTTAATGTTCACACGCACCTAGGCGATAGATTTAGATTGTTCGCTAGATATTTTTACACCATATTGAAAGTAAATTGCATTCCCCAAGCAAATTTCTAAGCGAAGTTTTAAACCTATTTTTTAAATTGCATTTTAGTCGTTATTAATTAATATCAAAATTGATGTGCGACTTATTAAAGATCAAAACAAATTTTATTGTGTTTTAAAGTTTTACATTTGATTGGAATATTCAAATATGATTTAAACTTTAATATATATATATATATATATATATATATATATATAGTAGCTGGAAATGTAACTGCATTTGTTCATTTTATAAACTAAAATATAATTATATATATTTATCACAATTGCATCAGGACTAATTCCATTTGCTAAGCTTTTTCGCATTGCAAATGTTCACGATACGACAATTTCGCAGATTAGATTTTCGAATACAAGTTTGCAGGGCCTTCCTTGCTCATTAACTAGAATAAGCCCATTTATTTACACGTTTCTTTTATTTCCGTCTACATTTCTCTTTTTTTTAGCATTCGCACAACCCACCGATGATCGAAGGGGCAACCAGACAATAATAATAACAACAACAACAACAACGAGAACAACAATAGTAGGAAGAAATACAAAGTATTTTGGCGCTTGGCCATGTAAATAGATTTTGCTTTTGGTTTTTGTTTATTTTTTCACACACACATTAACACACACACACACACATAGCGCAACTAATACATATATTTATGCAGACTATCAGATGCGGCAATATATTATACAACTATTGTTAGTTGCAGGTCATGTGGCGAGAATTGGGACAGCTGCCACATAAAAGCCGTTAACAACGACATTCACTGACTGAGGAGGGTAAGCCGATAACAACAACAGCAACAACAACAAGAAGAACAGCAGCACCAACATCAAGAATCGCCTAGACTTGTTAAACGTTTCGACCTTGGCCACCCCAAGCAGCAAAACTGGCTAAAATGGGGTGTGCAACCCACTTGGTGGATGTAGCCGCCTGTCTGCATTAGTCACAGAAAACGTGCAGTGAAAATGCGAACAACCAGTAGCTGTTCAATTAAGGCGCAAACGATGTGGCGACAAATTGCACAACAAAGCCGAGCAACACTATTCCAGCTGGTAAGCAAAACATTTATGCTTAAAAATGCCATAATTTAGTTGGCTGCAAAACTGCCTAACTTTGAAAGAAATCATTCGTAAGTTGGTCGTTATCAATGTTCACACTTGCCTCTGTTAATTGCAGTCAGTACATAGATCAAATTGATTCGGCAACTAGGCTCTTCACAAATTTGGTAAGTCTTTGTTATCGCGCCCACCTGCAAACATGAATTCTTAATGGGTTATTTTTGTTCCATTTATATAGTCTTTGCGTGAAGCGAGCAACGAACAGACATCAATATGTTTAAGATTCGTCAACGTAATTGTATGCTGATTGCCACGGTACTAATATTGGCGCCTTGCATTGTGATATTGATGGTATTGGGTCCAGAACTATCCACCGAGCAGTCGCTGACGCAACGGCTCGCCGAATGCCACATGCGGCTGCAGTATCTCGAGTCCATGTATCGTGCCCGCCAGGAGGATGTCTCGCTGCTCTCCCAGTATCTGGGCCAGCTGCAGTCCAACAATGCTAGCAATCTGACCAATGTTAGTCCACCACCGTTGCCGGTGGCCAATTTGCTGGATGGCCTCAGTCCGGAGGCACGTCAGCTGTTGCGCAACGCATCGCATATGTCCAAATCGGGTGCCTCGGGTTCGTCACGTGGCTATGTGCCCGTTCAGAATATCCGGCTGCCAAATGCCTATCACTTTCTGCCTCATCTCCTGGACGATGCTGGCTCGCTGCGTCCCGCCTATCTGCAGAGCAAAGGGCGTTCAGATGTGAGCATTGTCCTCGGCGTGCCCACAGTGCGACGCGAGAAGCAATCGTATCTGCTCAGCACGCTGCATAATCTCATCGAGAACATGAACGATGAGGAACAGAACGAAACGCTCATCATTGTCTACATAGGAGAAACGGACTTCGAAGCGGTGCAGCTGATAGCCAAACAAATTGAGACGAGCTTTGAGGCGCATCTGGAGAGTGGACTCATTGACATCATAGCACCAGCGCCCAGCTACTATCCAAACTTTGAGCGATTGCGTATCACACTGAATGACTCGCTGGAGCGTGTGAAGTGGCGCAGTAAACAGAATCTCGATTTTGCCTATCTAATGGCCTATGCCCATTCCAAGGGCACCTTCTATGTGCAGCTGGAGGATGATATATTAACGAAACGACAATTTATAACCACCATGAAGAAGTTTGCGCTCGATAAGAGCGCTTTAACCCGGCCAGATCAGTCGGACTGGTTTGTTTTGGACTTTTGTCAGCTCGGCTTCATTGGCAAAATGTTCAAGAGTGCCGAGTTGCCGTATTTAATAACGTACTTTCAAATGTTCTACAATGATAAACCGGTCGATTGGCTGCTAACGTATTTCATAGAGTCGAAGGTGTGTCGCACGGACAAGGATCAGAAGCATTGCAATTTGGCGAAGGTCCGCTATTGGCAGCACTTTCGCAAATCCCTATTCCAGCACATTGGCACCAGCTCCTCGCTGAAGGGCAAGGTGCAGAAGCTGAAGGACAAACAGTTTGGCAACAAGGTGCCCGCTTACTATGCGCACACGCACAATCCACCGGCGCTGGTCAAGTCGAATATAGCGCCGTATAAGAACTTTCTGCTGAAGCGCGCCTATCGAGGCGAAACATATTTCTGGGGTCTGCTGCCGCAGCCGGGCGATTTGGTGCAGATCATCTTTGAGCAGCCGACATTGTTGCGTCGCTATCTGTTTCGCAGCGGCAACTCGGAGCATCCGTCGGATCGTTTCTACAATACCACCGTGGAGCTGCTGCCGGCCGACAGTCTCAGCGAGAACTCGTCCGTCTGGAGCACTTATAACACCACAACGGATGGGTATCTGGTTGTCGGCGCTTTCGATAATCTGGGCGTTGCGGAGGGTCTGCTCGATCCCAAGATTGGTGCTATCAAGGAGCTGCGCCTCCACGTGCACAGCGACAGCGAGAACTGGGCACTGCTCAGCGAGATTGAGTTGCAGGAATCGGGCAGCAATGCGAGCAATTCGGATGCGAATGTGGCAAAGCCGCGCTTTGCGGCAGTTAGCTGATTGCTGCATCGTCATCGACAGCAGGCGGATATTTATGGTGGAGATCTAACCAAGAATTGATGTTGTCCCATCCTTGTGCATCTATTTGTATGTGCGTCTGTGTATCTGTACGTGTATGTGTATGTGTATGTGTATATTTGTGTATATTTTTTTATTGAGCGCTACTTTTAAATCCCTACCATCTAAATGTATAAATAACTAATCTCCAGGTATAATTATAACGTTTAACTGTAACTATTTATGACTGTCAACCAGCAGATATTTCGTACAATTCCCTCAAATAATAATCTCTCTTAACTGATGCGTGTCAGTTAACTTGATAAATCGAAAAGATATTCAAAGATAGTTTTTATCGCGTGTGAACCGTACTGTACTGTAACTGTTACTATGCTTATGCGATACACGATTTATATCGTTTTATATCAAATATTAATGTCCATATGTGAATGAATTTACCGGTAAACACATAAATCTCTTTTTACAAAACAGTCAGTCAATGAGTGGCGCCAGGTTTATCAATGTTGCAACATCGTTAGCTATGCATTATGATATTGTTAACTTGGCACATCGCATAGGCATTGAGCACGTGCTTTGATACTATTTCTGCATTGTGTTAATATATATACATATATACATTTTATACACAATTGATAATGTTTACGAATAGCTGTGCTGTGTAACTGAGCGCTCCAATTCCATTCTCTAAATACGAATATTATTTAGTTTTTGTTATGTTCTTTGCATTTCGAATAATTTAGTTTAAGTGTTATTCTCAACAATTGGCAAGTATATATTGAACGAAACGCATTCCAATTGTTTTTTTGACAACTACTTTCGTATTTCATTATTTCATAGAGATAACTGTCCAATCTGTCCAATCCATTTCTTCATAAGTTTATTGTTACGTTCTAATGTTTTAAATAATTGTTTTAAATTATATCATTATTATTATGACCATTATTTTGCTACAGTTACATATGTATGACAGCTGCTAATCTCAAGCCATAACAATCGAATAAGTATGTAATAAATGATTTTCATAACATTATAATTGACGTGACATGCATAACGACCATTTTTTAGCAATGTTTGCTTTTTACTGTGATTTGTTAATAATTTTTGCATTAACCATGAACGAAAATAAAACTAAAAGACGACTATAACATTAACATTAAATATTTGATGTGCGTTTCACATACACTATAAACTGTAACAAAAATTGCTGATTAGTCAACTAAATTTAAACCAAAAAGAAAAATATATATACTTTTTTACACAACGAGATAAAATAACATTATAATTATTTCGAAATCGAATTGGAAATGCCAAATTTATTATTATATAGCATATAAAAGAGAACAGTAAATGTTTACACTGGGTTCCTGTTGAGTAATAAAAGATATATTGTTAGTTGCAGTGGCATCTTCGAAATTGAGTTATTTCAATTTGTATACATTTAAGTTATTTTTGAAAAAGTTCTGTAAACATTTTCTGAAATCACTTCATGCCAACTGAAACGAACAAAATATTGTAGACTGCTTTGGTATATTGTTATAAAAAAAAAACAAGAACAAAAAGAAAAAGAAAAAAAAACTAACATCACGTTAACTATTTCGCTTGCTTAATTTTAAATACATAATACGCATATACTATATATATATTTTTTTATAAATAAATGTCCAATGTACGTACTTCTAAAGCCACAATAATTTTGCACCTTGATGTAATTGGAAAGATTTAATTGTTTAAATTATTCAAATTGGAATTGTAATTGAGCAAGAATTGAATTGAATTGAATTTAATATATAGCTAATTATATATATATGTAATATGTATAAAACGCGTTTGTCGCACACAGCCAACTTAGCAAATATGTTTATTGACCATTTTTTGTTCGTTTGTCTCTACACAATTCTCTTAAGCCAATCCAAGAAAAGAAACCTAACAGCAAAGTGCACGCTGGTAAAACATAATTGAAACATGCGTGCAACAAAGGTGTACAAGCTTAATAAATCATACAAAAAACATTGCAACACCATTTGTTTTCTTTAATTCCCAAAAATCATTTAATGATTGTAACTAATCGACACCAAAATGGAACTTCGTCTATGTTTTAAGTCCAACTTACAGATTGGAAACTTTCACTTACAACAAGTGCGAAATTAAAATTAAATGGATTTGTTTGCAGTGGCCAATCAATTTGTCTAATGATTTGAGTTATTAAAATCGAGTATAAAATCTGGAGTCTAAGGATGTATACTGAGAAATGAGCTGAATATTTTGAATATACATGCATAGAACAATGACTCATAAATATTTGCATTTAAATTAAATGACTATATTTATTGTTGCCAATTATAGATAATATTATTTTCGGATAACATAAAAATTTTATTTTTCAAAAAATATATGACAAATTTAACGACGAAAACGAATTATGTCCAATGTTCGTAATTACATATTAATAGTGACATTACTGATAACTTGCCTTTTAGTATCGATGGTATTTGATCCAGGATTATCCTTCCAAGCAGTTGCAGTCGAAAGGATGCGCCTTACAACAGACACCAGAAAATGTGACAGCTTCCAATTCAGGGCTCAGAATTGGCAAACTTGATTAGCTATCTGCAAATGTTTTACAATAATATATCCAAGCAGAGGATACTCTTGAAATTTATAGAATCAACTGCGAATTGGATTAGCATTGAGAGCATTTTGAGATGTCGATATTTCAACACATTGGCGGATTTTCACTGAAGGAAAGGCTCCTAATTCAAACGGGCAAACAAGTTAGTAACTCCTGGGTGCAGGACATGTATTCTTTTGCAAAATCAACTCTGGCTGATTGGATGCTGTTGTTTTTTTTTGTTTTAACGATTTTTTGTAGTTATTTTTGAATTTGATGCCATAATTTAATAGTTATTTGCCTGTTGTTCACTTCATTATCCTTATAATCAAGGATCCAAGCTATCTCGTCAGGCGAGAGTCTTTTTTGCCCTAATCTGTTTCTATCTGTAAATTTAAAATAAATATGTGTATTTAACTATCCCATTAAAAAAATAAAAGACTGATAATATCGAGTTTTATTTATAATTTATAATTTATTTTATTTTTTTCTTTATCGTTGATAGATTTAGATAGATACATAACATAATTGCATAGAGTTTTATAAACGTTGTAGATATATAGATATAATCAGCATTAATAAACATCACCATAGTTTGAAATACGTTTCATATAACAATAAAGGAAAAATAATAGTAAAATGTTTCGATATTGGCCATACTATTTTGATCTCGCTTAAATTGTTTGCAACAATATCAGCTCTGTATATAATTATGTATATGTATATGAATATTAAGTTAATACTTTTATTAAATAGTTGTATAAATATTATAAATTTTGCTGTTATCAGTGTGTGTGTGTGTATATTAAGCCATTTATCGATGCAAGCGTTCAGTCATTTATTTCATTTTCCAAAGCGCATCAAGCTCGTTTAATGGATCCTTGCTCTCCTGTTGCTCCTTGGCCGTTACCTGCGGTGCCATTTTCATCTGATATGATGTTATGATGCCACCTTAAATGAAACATATTATACAGTGATATATTGTAAACTTTTGGTGTAGTATTATTCTCACGTTTGTTGAGCACATCGTGTGCATGACTCAAAACAATTTGCATGGACTGCTCCAGGATTGCGGCATCACGCAGCGAATTTTGTCGCTGCTTGCAAATGCGTGACCAAACATCGACAACATCTGTTAAAGGTTATTAAATACAATGTGAGTGAAACATGTAGCAATCTTTTCAAAAACGAAATGCTCACTTATTAAAATTGGCCGCTTGGCTTGTGTGCCCATCAATGCACAGATGCCAATGGCCAACAGTTCGGATCGCTCGGATCCCGTCAGACAGTTCAAAATTAGCGGCGACGTGGGTGTATTGGCCTCCAGGCAGCGTTGCTGATGGGTTTGCAGCGCATTCTGCGCAATGCCCAGTAATTGAGTGGGTAAACTGTAAGCAACGGATCAGAAATTAGCAAATAATTAGAATTAGCACATTTAAGATGGATAGTTACGCTTTGGTCCATTGCTTGAGCTGCAGCAGGGATAGATCCAGAACAGCATCGGCACCATGCATCGATAATTTCAGTTGATATTCCGTGCAGTGGCTGAGCTGTTGCTGCTTCACACAGTTAACTGTGTAGTCATCGTAGTGGGTCGGCTGATTCAGAACCTGCGGCCAATAAGGATCAAAAAGCTGGCCAACGAAAAAGAATCCATTCTGATTATTATGGAAAGCCCAATAGAGCTGCTTGGCGAACTTACTTCATTGGTGGTGTGCAGACAGACCACAGTGCGAGACTTTTCCGACCAAATCATCGACCAGAAATCGTTGGTTGTATTCGCTTGCGGCGTTTGTGATACGATAAAGTTTGGACAGCCAGCGCTGAGGTTCTGCAACAAAAGACAAGATTCTTGTTAGATTTTGGGCAGTCAAAGCTTAAGTAAATATTTAATGCAGTTGAACTCAGTTTGGCATTCTTGAGTTTAAATAAGGCATCAATAAATTTAAATATTGCATTAGTTTGTATTTCTGATTAATAAATATTAAAGCTTTAAGCTGGCTGGACAGACGCACCTTCATGTAAGCGGCATTGATATAGTCATCCGTCTGCTTGTCCAGCTTGACGCGAGCATGATCGTAGGGCAGACAATCGAGGGAGCGATTCTTCTCGGGAAACAGCTTTGCTATGGTCGTTGTCCGCTTAACGCTGGTGTCCTTTTCGAGTTTCTGCTGCAGCTGTAGCCATTTGCTGCCCAGTTGCGTGTTGCCGTTCAACATTTTGACGTGCAGATTCTCGACCAGCTTCTCATAGCTCTCCACCTCCTTGTGGAAATATTTGAGCACCTTGTCATCGTTGAACGGATCGTGAGCGTGCATTTGGAATGTGATCAGTGGATGGCCATTGTTGGTAATTGCCGGTTGCTTGTCGCTGGCGGAATGTGTCAGTGAAACCGAGTCCCAGTCAAAATTCTCCAGTGAGCTCAAATCTGAGCAATTGGAGAGATTATCGAGGCTATTCTTACGCAATGAAACAACTGCGGGTGTTGGTGAAACCATAGGTGCTGCCACACTATCAGCAGCAGCTGCAGCTGCAGCAGCAGCTCCAGCATCGGCAGCAGCAGTAGCAGCAGCAATTGGATCGCTACTTGCAACCACATCGGTTGCTGCTCTCTCGCTGACTGCTGACGACGACGCCGGCGGCGGCGGCGTTGGTGTCGCCACAATCTCTGGTTGCAGCAATGGCTTGAGCACGACGCCCGTACAACAATCCATATCCAAATCACTAAGCAAATCCACATTGCTGCAATCCGACTTGAGGGGCTTGGTTTCCGTTTGCTGCTGCAGCGGCGAGGAGGCATACGGTGCACTGCTCGTTGTTGTTATGGTGTTGGCAATGCTGCTGCCACCGCTTTGCATATAAATTGGTGGTTTTTGATTAGCCCGTTGTTGTTGTTGTTGCTCCAGTTTCGGTTGCTGTGGTATTTGCTGTTGTTGTTGTTGTTGCTGCTGCTGCTGTTGTTGTTGTTGTTGTGTTTGTTGTGAGGGCGTCTCTCCAGTCGAGTGATAACCATAAGGTGGTGTATAATAGTTACCCACGCCCACCTCCGCATTGGGCGCAACCTGAGCATTGGGCTCAGCATCTGGGCCACTTGTTGCCGCCTTCGTATGCGACACGATCGGTGACTGCTGAATGGAGTTTAGAATAAATATAACTTATAGCATTTACAGGCCGTATAAGAGTCATACTTACATCAAAGCCGGTGGCCAGACTGCTGCGATTGGCCAGCTCCGAGTCTGTGGTGCCCACAACTGCCGCCTGACCGTTCTGCTGGCCGCTCAGCGTGAATTGGCCAAATTGGCCTTGCGAAACTCGCGGAATGTGATTGCTGGCATGCTGATAGCCGCTGCTGTATTCATAGACACCCGTTTGTGGATTGAAACTGTAGCCGGGATGGTTGGAGTAGCTCAAATAGTTCGACTCAGCACTGGCTGCAGCTGGCTGAGGCAGCGAAGGCGTGGCTGCCGCAGCCGGAGCGTGTTGTTGTTGTTGTGTTGCATATAAAGCTGGCTGTGGCGTCGCTATTTGTTGCTGAGCGTATGGAGAAATTTGCGGAGGCAACATTGAATTCTGCTGTTGCTGGTGCTGCTGCTGGCCATAAATGGCAGCCTGCTGCTGCTGCTGCTGTTGAGGATAAATTGTGGATTGTTGCTGTTGCTGCGGCGTCTGCGCCTGGGGATAAACTGTGGATGGCTGTTGCTGTTGCGTCGTCTGGACTTGAGGATAACTGGCTGCTTGTGGTTGGGGCAAGGTGTGTGGCTGTTGTCCATATGCCGTCTGTTGGTACATAGCCTGTGGATAGGACTGTGCCGCACTTGCCTGTTGATAGGCTAAAGGCTGTTGCTGCTGCTGCTGCTGGGCAATCTGTGCCGACTGCTGTTGCTGTGCATAGCTGAGTGGCTCTGCTGGCTGCGTCGATGTGGTTGCCACATAGAGTGGCTGCTGATAGTTGTAGCTGTTGTTGTTCTGTTGTCGAGGAACAGGAGAAACAGCTGGCGCTGCATACGCCACGGGATGATAGTTGTAGCCGCCATAGCCCAGCTGCGCCTGTTGCTGACCACTTTCTGCTACTGCTGGAGGAGGCTGCTGCTGGTGCTGGTGCTGTTGTTGCAAGTTCAGCTGCGCCATGGCGCCGTGCAGCGTTTGGGAGTTGGGCGAGGCCTGCGCCTTGTAGGCGGGCGGAGCAATGTGCTGCTGTTGCTGCTGGTACATCGGATTCGTGTAGCCGGCTGCATTGGGATCATAATATTGCTGCTGCTGCAGGCTGTATGGCGGCGGTGGCTCATTCGGAGGCGGTGCGCTCGCATATGCCGAGCAAGTGGCCTGCGCGGGATTCTCCGAGCCGACGGGCACGGGGCGTGCATCTAGCGTGGAAATGGGCGCAATGCCACCACTCTTCGCCTTGAGATAATCACGCAACTTGGGCGTTGAGCTGGTGGCGATTGTATCCGGTTTGCTGAGAGAGATTGCAGCTGGTGCTGGCGTTGGAGCTGGTGTTGCCTTGACGCTCTGTAGACGCTGCTGCCGCTCCTCGGATTGCACATCGCGTGCAGACTTGAAGCGGGTCAAAAGTTTCTGCACATTGCCCGCCAGCTTCTTGTAGAACTCCAAGCCCTTGGCCGACTTGGCCAACAGATCCTCGTACACATCATACGAGGCGGCCAGTGAGCTGTAGAAATGTTCACGCTTTTGCTTCACATCCTGCAGCGTTTTCAACACGGGCGCTGCACGTGCATATGCCTCGGTCAGCGCTTGCAGGATATTCTGTTGGGCGAGCAGATTCTGATCGAGCAACTGGGTGAGTCGCTCGTGCTTGGCCAGCTCCGTGGCGAAGAGCGCCTGTAGTCCCTCCTGGCCGCCATGGGCAATGACCTTGCTGGTGATGTCATCCTCATTGATCGCAATGCGCAAATCGGCATGGAATTGGGCACGTTGCGCCTTCATCTCGTTCACCTTGTTCACAATCAGTTTGACATCCTTGAAAATCTCGGTCGTGTTCAGCTCGGAGCTAAGCTTGGGCATCAGTTGCTGGATTTCCTGGAGAGGACGAGCCAATATCTTCAAATTATTCACATGCAAACTCATCGCTTTGCGCAGTGTATTATTGGATTCTCCAGCCCTCGCATGGGCTTCACTGTACTTCTGGAATTCGCGTGTCAGCTCCGTGATGTGGGCATTTGGTGTGCGCTGTACGCCGCTCGCCGTTTGAAATTCACGCTCCGCCTGCGCCTCCGCCTCAAGCATGTGGGTGAGCTCAGCGAGATTGGTTTCGACATCGGCTGTGATTTCGGCCAGCTGGGACATGGCCTCGATGAGATCGCTGATGGCGCTCTTGTTCGCATGCAGCGCCGCACAGCGATCGACAATGCCCTGTGGCAACTTGTTGGCCTGCTCCTCGTTGATGTTCAGATTGTCGAGGGTCAGCGAACTCATATAGCCCTCCAGCTGTGTGTCCTTCTCCTCGAGCAGTGCCCCATATTTGCGCAACAACTTCGCCTTCTCCTCGCTATACATCGAGCTGGCCTCGTGCGCCTTCATTGGCACGAGACGTGCAAAGATATCAGCGCCAGCATATTCTTCATCGGTAACAGCGAAACCGATGCCATTCACCAAATTGGCACCTTGAACGGCAGCGATTGTTGTCAACTCGGGGACCGCTTCGTGGTAGATGAACTCGTTCTCGTTTTTGGCATTCTTCCGTTTTCCCTCGACGACATCGGCGGTGAAGCTGAGCGACTCGTTGATCTCCTTTTGATCGGGCAGACCCTTCGACTCTTTGCGCGCCTCCTCCAACTTGTCCCAGGCCGCCTAATCATTAATAAGATATTAAAGACATTAATATTGATCATAAATCGCATATAATGTTGCAAAGAAAAATAAAAGCAATGAGAACAGGCCAATAGAATAAAGTTTTTTCTTTTTTTCTTACTTTCTAACTCTTTTAAAGTCTTCTCTTCCTATTATTTATATAATATATTAGCTCACCTGATACAGCGTCAGACGTTCGCCCATTTTGCGCTGCTCCTCGGCGTGCTGTCCCTGATACAGGTACAATATGCAGTTTAGGTAGTTAATCTTGAACTTGACGTATTTCTTCCACAGCTTGTAGACGGAGCTATCGATGACCTGCGCGACGGGCCCATCATCGCCACCGGTGAGCAGTGCGGCAAGTGCAGCGCCATAATAGACAACAATTTGGGCCGTCACCTTGGCAACAATGTGCGGCTTCCGGTTGTCAATTAGCGATTTTTCCAATATACATTCTTGTGCCTGCGCCAAACACACCTGCTGCTGGAAGACCAACAATTCGTTGGTCATAAAATCACCGCCGCTGCCCACGTTCGCGTAGCGTTCCCTCAGCTCGTTATAGGCCCAAGCGGCAGCCTGCAAATATTTAATTAATAATTAAATTAATATGAATATATATATATGTGTGGATTACTTCCCACATAAAGTAGCTATGTATGCATATTCAACATAAATTATTAAAAATTCAATTAATTATAAATATTAACATAAAGTGTCTATTAATAATTAAATTAATCATAAGTAATTAAATTAAATTATGGAGATATTTGAAATTATTATTAAATATAAATAAATAATAATTACTATAATAAACAATAATTATAAAATGAATAAATAATTCTACTAGATTGCAAGAGCTTTCCAAATAAATATTAAATATTCTTATATGACTTTCATTTTACTCATTTCAAACTCATTCTCTGTCCTGGAATGTCTCATTCCAATATGGTTCTCAATCATGGAATATGGTTCTCACCTGGAAATGTGTGCAGGCCATTTTCATGCCATCAACATCGCCGCGTGTCACCGACGCACCCGATTGGGTGTGCGAGGCGGCAATGTTGAAGAGGACAGCGGCACGCTCGAAGCGAATGTCGTTCCATTCGTGGACGGCGCTGTGATACAGATCCTTCCAGGTGAATGTGAATATGCTGCGATCCGCCAGCTGCGGGAAGCGATTCTGCATTGCGTGCAGCTGGCAATAATACCGTTTCATTATCGCCGCACCATCTTTGGTGGTGCGCATTGCCTGGTTGCGCAGCGTTTCCAGTGCGTGCACCTCCTTGGAATATGCCTCGGCATCTTCATGATAGAATTCCGCAATGTACTGGAAGACAAACGTAGTGTGGGAGAGTGAGACAGAGATACATGAAAAGAGATTACCGATCGACAATAAACTGTTATTCGTTTGTTTTGCAATTTGCAGTGCTAATCAGACGATGACTGCGACGTCGGCTGTGATGACTCAGCCGTTGTTGCCATTGTCATTGTACAAGCCGTGGGTGGTTCGAGGCGGTCTGTGGGGGGAATGCATACAAAAGCTGAGCGGATCAGTTTTCCCACTTGCCCCACCTCTCTTTTGATTGGTTAGTTCGTCGACCGTTGTTGTCCGATTTCTAATGCACCAACCTTTTTCAACGGGGCGAAGGATGTTCCCTCGGGACTGGACTTGAGGGCAAACCATAACATGTGCAGACGCGGCACGGCCTCCATTGTGTCCTGTTTTGCGGCCTTCTCAGTTTATTTATAATTTGGAAACGATTTCGAGACAAAACGTATTACAGAAAATTACTCTGCTTCTGCAGTGTGACCGTGCTGGCATATGCATTAAATCCACTAGATGCAATTTGAGAAATACCAAAGAATGTACTTATTTAACGAAGCAGTAGGTTCGCTTCACCGCTAAGTGGTTTTTTCCGTGCTTTTAAATAAAGCAAATCTTAATTTTATTTCAGAGTTATTTTTAGTGAGCATAAGCTGCTCTGCATAAGCTGCACTAAATTAGCCTTAAATAAATATTCAATTCAGTCCCATAACGACTTTATATCAATTTAGATCTTACCAAAGTTAGTTAAATGGTTCTTGTCGAGGATTCAATGCTTATGGTGTTCACCGAAAGAGGGCGCTTTCCGTGTACAATTGTTTCCAAACTATGGGTTTAAAAAAATGTATTTTTCTTATGATAAATAGAAGTTGTTGAAAATTATTCGTTTAATTTTAAACTAGGAACGATACCTGAAAAGGAGATTAAGAGTCCAAAGCAGAAAAACTGCTTTATTTCAATTTAGATTTTAAAGAGATTAAATGGTTCTTGTCATGGATAAAATGCTTATGGCGTAAGCCGCAAGAGGGCGATTTTTCAACTTCTGCTCACGAATTATTTAAAAATATGTATTTTAAGAAATAAAATATAAAAATTTTTGTGGAAAAATGTGCATTTAATTTTAAGCAGCAGCTATATTTGATATGGTTGTGAATACAAACTGAAATAAAGAGTATATTACAATTATTCTTACTCCTTTCGCTGTGTGGCCATAATGAACGCAACTAATCCGTTTGGTAAACCGAAATAAGTAAAAATAATACGACAAACTAAATTACGGCTGTCCGAATATAAATGAAAATTTACATTTCACTGCAAAGCGCCCCCCTTTGACAACAAAGGACAACAATGCCAGCGACAAATGGCCAACTCACTCTGTGCTGGGGAAGCTTGGAATATTGTAGGAGAGGGGGTGGGGGAGGGTTTGCTTTCCTTGCTTTTCTTTTCTAGTGCATGATAAAAAAAACTCTTTTAGTTGATTTAATTATGTTCAGTTTTTTTTTGGTCGCGCAACACTTTTGTTGCTCTTTAAAAATATATTTTAGCACTTCCTGTGCGAAATTCTAACCGCAGGGAGATATATAGAGAGAGAGAGAGAGATGGGGGGAGGTGGGTTGGGAGAGGCAGTTGCTGAACTATGCACTTCCTGTCATTGTCTTTTGCCAGAACACTCCTCCAGCCCCCCACTCTACCCGCTCATCTATTTGCGCGCTGTTGTTGACGCTTTTGGAAAAGTCCCGAAACGTTGTTGTTAACATTTCCGCTACTCGCAAAAAGGCGTTAAGTTGTTGTTGTTATTGTTGTTGTTGTTGCTGCTGTTGTTGGCCACATAATTCGCATGGCTAACAACTGCACAAGAAGAATTTGCTGCGAAATTATTATAAAACATATAAAATTTGCACATTGCAAGCGGTTCACAAATTCATTCTTTATTTTTGTTGCAGTTCTTATTGCTGTATATGCACACATATGCACCCTAGCGGGGGCGGGGTATATTAGTTTGCCCATTGCGGATGTAACAATAGAGATAATCAAATAGTCAGAAAGGCACAGAAGGAGAGAGAGAGAGACTGAACGAGATTGAGAAAAGAGAGAGAGAGAGAGAGAGAGAGAGAGAGAGAGAGATTCAAACTGAAATCAAAAATATATATTCTGAATACTTTAAATAGGAATATATACCTTGATACTGTCTTCTCCTTTAAATACTCAGTTTTAAGCAAATATTCCTGATTTAAGAATACAAATTTTGATATAAATTATTACAACTTTTTTGTTTATTTTCCAAATTCGTTATTATCTCCCAAATATTAACATTTATTTGGTCTGATTGAATTTATTCTGGGTTTTTCCAATTTCTGCAATAAATGTTGAACATTTTGTACATTTTAGTGCAGCCAGGCATCTTATAAATATATATACATAATATTTAATTTTACATTTGATTTTAATTATTTACTCTTTTTTCATTTAAGCTATAATATTTTCCTTTATTTAATAATTTTAAATTTATAATTTGAATATTAAAATTTTAAATATATTTTTTGCACAGACTAAATTAAATAAATAAATAGAATTTATTGCCAAAAATCGACTGGCTGATTGTCTAGTAATAGAAATTTAAGTAGTTTTTCTAAATAAAAAGGGTATTTCAATTTTCAGTGTGCGGCATTTGGTTGCCATTTTTACTTTGTAACATTTTATTTTGCGAATGCACTTAAATATTTGTGCGTGTGTGTGTGTGTGGTTGTGCATGTGTGTGTGTTTGGTTGTGTGTGGTTGTGTGATTGTGTGCGTGCCTGCCAAAAAGCCAGTCAAAATGTTTATTGCGTTGTCATGCGGCTAAAGGCAATTATAAGTGTGTGAAGAGTGTGTGTGCGTGTGTGTGTGTGTGTGTGTCTTTGTGTGTTTGCCTACTAAATCAGATGCACTAAATCAGATGCTTTTAATATATGGCAAATATGAAAATATATTAAAAATGTATATAAATTGTTTATATACAGATATATGAATGTTTAGCAGAGAAAAAGCTAAGCAGACCAAATAAATGTTGCAAGTTAGTAATTTAGTTATTAATGAACAGCGACAGAGAGAGAGAGAGATCTATATATATATAGATATAGAGAGCGCCAGAGAGAGAGAGAGAGAGAGAGAAAGAGAAACAGATATAGAGTGGGGAAGGGAGAGAGAGCAAGAGAGATGGACAGGGAGACGTGATCGAGAGGGAAATAAAATGAAAAAGAGAGAAAATGAGGAAGAGACAGAGAAAAGAATGTAAGAGATAAAGAAAGAACAAGTTTTTAAATAGTTGTATTATTAATAATTAAATATTTGTCAGCAAATCATCAAAATGGGACAACTATATAATTGAGTTTTTTTTAAGGAATAATGAGACGGCTTTTCAAATGTATATATTAAATATCGGCAGGTGGACTCTGGTCTGGAAGGATATATTGTAGCAGTCAAAACCAAATTATATAGTTATAAATTGTATTATATTATATAAATTTTGATTGATTTCTGCCTCTTCAAGATAGTAATCACACCTTTGTTATCGATCGATATCGATAGCATATGTTAAGTACCTAGTTGCAGTTAAATTACAGCTGTTAAGTTACAGCTGTTACGTTACAGTCTTAGTGCTAAGTGACTTGTGGCCTGCTTCAATGCAGTCTTTGATAAGTCCATGAATACTTCTTAAATGTATTTAATGTGTGAAACGCTTGAATGAACAATACAGTACTCAAAAGAAATCAAATAAACAGCTTGTACATGTGTTTGTACGTAACATTGATTAGGTGCGTAATCTGCCAACAAAAACAAAGAAAAAATGGGGGAGAAAACGCTAAAATACCACACATAAATCGCAAAGTAAAACTCATTAAACTTATCACTTAATGCGGCAAAAAAGACAAAAAAAAAACAAAAAACAAAATGGCAACCGCCATAAAACAAACAACAATAAACATTACTCATAAGCCCAGAGACACTGGACAATGGAAAATGCATTGCATGTGTGGGCAATTAAAAAAAGGAAACGAAAGAAAGCACAAAATGGCCGTTAAATTTGAAATGGGCTGAGGCACACACAACCACACACACACACACGCACAGACACATGCACACCCACATGAGGCTTAAGATAAACAGCGACTAAACAGGGACTAAAAACAAAGCCAAACAAACCGAAAAACCGCAGAGGGATGAGTGGTTGAAGAGGGGCGAGTGGGGAGGACTGGGGGAGGCACAAACTTACATAAAATCTACGCGAGGCCTCAAATTAATACGAATTTATGACAATTTCAAATGCATTTTCAACGTTCCACACCCCCCACCTCTCCTTGATCGTAAAAATGTTTATGCCGGTCTAAAAAAAAAAAAAAAATACACGCGCAAATTTTCCTTTGGCGGAAAACATTTTTATGTGCTGCCTGCCACGCCTCTAAAATATATAAGTTACACACAGACAAAAAAAGCAAACTAAAATTGTGAATATATTTTTGATTCCAAATTAGAGACGAAAGAGTTTTTGAGCACGCGAATATAATATTAAAAACTTCCCATTTGTTGTAGTAAATCAGGTCAGATTATAACTGAAATTGAAGAAGGAACCCATAGGACAAATATATATTCTTAATCAGTCGATCACAGAGACTATAACTGAAGACTTCAAATTTGTAATAAAATTTCGCGTAAATCAAAAACAAATCAAGTTTATTTCAGCTCATTCCAAGTTCAGTAAAATTCCAAGTTTAGCAAGTCAGTTTTAGATTTATTAGCTGTTGTTTCAGGATATCTGCCAGTCGAGTTGCCTTCTTATTTTGTTCAGTGTATGTGGCATGTGTTTGATTCTGAATGCTCTCGTCTTGTTTGACCATTTTTATGACCCGCACGAATCTGGCAAACAGCCGCCCATTTTTGTAGGCTTTGTCTTACGAGCTTTTCAGTTGCCGCCTCAGTTTTTGGCGCACTCACTTATTCTTATAATTTTTATGACTACTGACAATGCCATTTCCATTTCCACTTCCACTTCCATTTCCATTTGGCTGGGCACGTTTCGTTTTCCATGTTTTTCGTCAGACTTTATGCACTTTATGCACAATAATAAATAAATTCGCATTAAATTTTTGTACTCTTTTAGAGTGCCACACGCCGGCTCGAGGCAACAAATATTTGCGTAGCTCATAAATACTTTTAATGATCTGAACGTTTTTGATTTTTGCATTTTTTTGTTCTGTTTTTTTTTTTTTTTTTATATTAATTTATCTCAGCTTGTCAGCGAGAGGCGTCAGTGGGTAGGAATTTGGGGGCTAATTTGCTAACCACTTACTTCTATAGCATAATATAAATGTTAATTGTCGCCGAATCGTGTTGCATAACATTTTTAAGGGGCTAATAAATAAAGAAAGGATTATTTCCAGTTAAATTGATGGCAGATTGATGACTTCTTAAAGATGGCTGTAAAGTGTCAGTGG